TTACACCCGATAAATAAAGTTTCATACACACACACACACACACACACACACATATATGTCTCTGTGTGTGAAAGAGATGAAAGTGTGTGTGTGTGTGTGTGTGTGTGTGTGTGATGAAAGGAGATCAGACTTTTAACGAGACAGTAGCAGGAAGGTCTTTCCTAAACTATGGAAGACTCGAATTCATGTAAAGGGGAGAAAGAGTTAAGCAACATCAGTCCTTAAGTGGAGTTTTTGGTGGAAGCAGCTCAGGTCTCCAGTCACAGTTGGAAGTCTCCAGTCCCTTTCTTTTTCTGCCCTCTAGTGGACACTGCTGAGCAGACAATCCGACGACTGTTTTCTGCCCTTCAGTGTCCTGCCTAGTGTCCCCATGTTCTTATTATCCTCATAGTCCTAAAGGGGAAATAACAAGCACCATTTAAACATCCGCTACAAATTCAGGATGTGGACCGATGTATACATCAGACGACTCTCCAGGTAAGAGGAGTTTTCATGAGGAAGTACCCCAGTCCCCACGCACTCAGTTTATCCTGATCATTCAAGGGGCTTTATGGTGTCTGTTGTTTCGCTTTTAATTGTTTTTAGTTCTTTCTTTCTTCCTCCTTTCTTCTTATGGATAGGATCTTAATATATAGCTATCTCCTCCTGTCACCTGGAACTTATTGTATCAATCAGGTTGGCCTTGAAATCATAGAAATCCATCTGTCTCCACCTCCTGAGTGCTGGGATTAAAGGTGTGCCCCACCTTGCCTGACTGGCTCTGTTTTGTGATACACCCTTGCTCTGTAGCTCCGGCAGGTGTAAGGCTTGGGATTCTCCTGCGTCACTCTCTCAATCGTTAGGATTAATAAGCACACATTGAGAGACTCGACTTATTTTCCTTTGTATAATAATAGCAACACCCTTTTCTACAATTTTCTAAACACGAATATATATGATTTAAACCCCTTAACTCGTCTCACAGTAACCTTTTCTGAGATGTCATTAAAGCCTCCTCCCATTGTTCCAGGTCACCCTGGACTGAGGCGATACCACTGTCTCCACCTCTGGGTCCTCTGCCTCCTTTCCACTCTTAGCCCCCTCCCCGCTTAACATGAACTTTCAGTCATTACCCATGAGCTACTGTGCATCAAGGCTGGTGAATTCAGCCGGTTACCGAAGGCAGACAGTGGTGGGAGAGGCACAGCCCAACACAGCTGCCACGCTGAACTAGAAAACACTGGCCATGGCCTCCCTACAACACAGTCCATCATTCCCCTCATGGATGGTGCTGATGGTTGAATCCTTTCTCGGGGTTGGACCCTCCTTGGCTGTAGCTCCTCCCCTCGCCTGACTCTTCCGCTCATCAGCCACCTTGTGACATCTTCATTTCTGCTAATGCCTTAGGACGGGTGAGCTCTTCTGTCCTTCTCTTCCTACCCTAAGCTGGGCTGGGCTGCACCTTGGCTTTACCTGTTGGGAAGCTCAGGCAGGCACCCTGGTTTCCATCATCAACACACAACAGCCAATAGAAAGTTTTAAATCATGTTTCCAGGTTGAATTGCTAAGCCTGCTCTTCCATACAATCAGCTAGAGCTAACCAGGAGTCTGTGCTCTACACTGGCCTGCCTTAGCCATGCCATGACCACCCTAGACATCACCTAAGAGCTCCTGCCCTCTGTTCTACGCTCCCTCAACCTGAGATGCACTGGACTCTGTGGATGTTGATGAGAATTAGCATCCCAGAGTGAAGCAAAGCTGAGGCCAGGTGTTCAAATACATAGATGGGGATTTTAGTTTTCCTGTGACCAGCTTGAATTGTCTGTCTCTATTTCCCCGTTTCATACCTAGTACCCAGTTCCTGTGGGAATCTTTGTGATTTCAGGAGGTTAAGAAGAAGATTGTCTATCCTCAGCCACAAGAATTGGCTTTGAGTAGCATGATTGTTAATGTTTACATGTCTATGCGCCCATAAATGCTATTTGTTTATAACTAACATTTCAATTAGTACTCTGACTTGGCTTGGTGGTCCAAGCCTCTAATCCCAGCTAGTCTGGAGGCAGAGGCAGGAGGATCACAAGTTCAAAGACAGTTTGAGCAACTTAGGTGAGGATACATTTCAAATTAAAAGGAAAAAAAGGGGGGGGCCTGGGAGGTAACACCATTGTAGGGTCCTTGCCTAACATGCAGGCAGGGCCCATGAAAAACTCGAGAGACATAGATGGGCACATGTATGTCGGGCTGTTTCCTGAGGAGTCTGGGCTTTCACACTGAATGAATGAATGGTGGAATTCAAACCTGAGACACAGCATATCTGCCAGGTACAGACCTGATCCAGCTCTCTGGGTCAAGCAAACACAGGCAGATGCATTAGCTATTGATGGTGCTGTTCCTTAGTGTTGATAGATGTAAAACGAGTTATGGTGCCCACCACAGAGGGTTACTTAGAGCATTCAATGGGCTGATAGAAATGAAACACTTAGAACAGTGACTGGGTCACAGTAAATCCAGCTGGAGGAGGTTGTGGTGGGTGGTGGTGATGGTGGAGGCTGTGGTGGTGGTGGTGGTGGTGGTGATGGTGATGGTGGAGGCTGTGGTGGTGGTGGTGGAGGGTGTGGTGGTGGTGATGGTGGAGGCTGTGGTGGTGGTGGTGGTGGTGGTGATGGTGGTGGTAGTGATGGTGGAGGCTGTGGTGGTAGTGATGGTGGTGGTGGTATAGAACCCAGTCTGAGGTTAAGGTTGACCTCAGAAGTCAAGAAAATGTCCCCAGTACTCCAGTGAGCTCTCAAACCTCGGGATCGAATTGAGAAAGCAGTGTGACAGGCATCCTATCCTTGGACTTCTCGGTGACACAAACTCAGAACTTTAATGATTTAAACCTATTTGGTTGAGTTTTACTTGTTTCCACTGAGGGAGGAATCTCCTTCCTGTTTTAGCACCTGAGTGGTTTCTTTTGTTCATAACTACAAAGCATAAAAGCATAAAAGGTTCATCCACATCTCTCTTCCCAGAAAATGGAGCTACCTCCACTCTCTTAAGTAGGCCAATTTTCTCTGCTTCCAGGAAGCCCGTTTCTACCCATCCATGAGGAACTTCCTGCAATACCCTCAAGGTGATTTGTCCTTCTATGGCAGTCACCCAGATGATTTCTGGGTAATTGTGGACACACATTTCACTGAAGAGGAAACAGGAATAAGCTATAAGCAATGAGTAGACAGTTTGCTTGAGGGAAACACAAACCATAAACACAAGCATTTCATCTCAGTAGATAGGTGATGTAGAACTCCTTCAAACTTATCAAGTGTGCAGACTGAGGGAGGGGTGAATAAAGCAGTCTACAGTTCACAAAACAATGTACAAAAACTGGTATCATGAAAAGCTGGCCATGACTACATCTTACATAGTGGTATCTCTACTGACTGTCCCTAGACACTGACAGACTCCTGCCCTGGAGTTGTGCACATGTGTGTGTAGTGATGTGCTGGTGGGAAGAGTGAATGGAAATAACTGAGTATCCATAGCACAGTAGTATAACAATGATACAAATAGTTACTTAATGAATTCCAAAGGCAACGTGGTGAATGAACTACAGCTGCATGCAGATGTGGACACTTTAACATAATGGCTTTGGTTAGGGTACTTGCAGAAAAACTACCAAACATTATTTATAGAGATAGAAATATACAATGATTATACACAGGGGGCATATCAAGGCTGAGAAGCATAAAAATGCTAAAAACAAATAAAAAACCATATGGTTGGGAAAAGGACCATTCATGGAAGAGTCTGAGAACTATAACATTTTATGCCCTAATTCAGTAATATAAGTGCTTGTGTTTTGTTTTTACAGTGTTAAATACCCTTTGTTCAAGACTGGGTTTCTTTGTGTAGACTTGGCAGTCCCGGAACTGACTTTGTAGACCAGGCCAGCTGCTTCTACCTATGCTGGGATTACAGGCATGCGCCACCACTGCCTGGTTTGTATGCATACTTTTATTGTGATAAAATATATAACATAAAATTGGACATTTCTGTTTCATTCTAATTATTTTTAAGTGTTTAAATACATCCACCTTTTTGTACCAACAACTATCTCTCACATCGTCACTAGCCTAGCATTTCTTGTCATCACTGTGCTTTAGGTTAATCAAGAAATCATTGTTGGGGATGGAGAGATGACTCGGCCATTTGGAGCCTCTTGCCAAAGACTCCCCCCACCCCCAGTTCGATTCCTGGGCTCACAATCATCTGTAACTCCAGTTTCAGGGTATCTGATGCCCTCTTCTGACCTCCACAGGGCCCAGACACACGTGAGGTCCATATGTGTGTGTGTGTGTGTGTGTGTGCGCGCAAAACATTTATACACATAAATCTTAAAAAAGAATCATTGCCAAGTCCAACGTTTTGACTCAGTTTTCTGAGTTTCGCTGTCTCACCTCTTACATCTTTGATCCCTTTAAATCAATTTTTCACTCTTTTGTACCACAAGAAAAATTTAAAAACAAAAGAATCCTGAGTATGGATCCAGAAGGGATTTTCCGGGTTTACAAAGAACCTAAAAGGGAGGACAAATAACGTGTCACGTCCAACAGTTAGCTACTACAGGGAGCTCAAAGCAGTACCTTCATTTGCAATGCGAAGGATTTGACAGTTGTCCATCAACTAACAACCAGCCCGGAAGCCCAAGAGTTTGAATCAGCTGGCGGCTGGCTCGGGTCCACCCATACCCACAGCAGCTCCGGGTCATTTCCCCGCCCATGAGGTCCGGGAGTTCTAAATTTACGGAACGGTGACGGAGCTCGAGCCGGAGAGACAGCCCAGAGCAGCTAAGCCGGTTGTTTCGGACTCCGCTCCGCTGCGGGGTCTTATCCAGGCCTAGATTTCATTGTGCTTTCGCCCAGGCGGCTCTCTGGGTCCTCCCCGGAAGAGGTGGAGCATAAGAGGACTAGGCTCTGATTGGCTGTTCAGAGCAAGGCAGGCTAGGCGCGAGTTTTGGCGTCCCTGGCTTTGGGAGCGGTAGGATGGCGGCACGGAGAAGTTTGAGATACTCGAGGGACCCGGGGTAAGTGCTGCCGCCCCGAAATCCGCCCGGGATGGGCTCAACCTGTCCCAGAGACTCGCTGACCCGGCCTCGATTCCCACATCCCCGGGTCCTAGAGCTGTGAGGAGATAAGAGTTCCAGGAGTCAAGCTGTGTGGCAGAGGAACTCAGACACCAGCGTCGCTTCATGTGACAAGCAGATATTGACCATTAATCACTTCTGGTCTGTTGTCATTGCTTTTTTGTTTCCAAGACCCAGCTGTTTTCGTAATGGAAAACACGGTGTCTGAAGTCAAACCAAATCTCTAGCGAGGGACCAAGCAGCCTCTTGGGGTTGGGCTGGCCTTGCCGAATGCCTAAAGGACATTCAGGTGCGTCATGTATCTTTTTATTATAAAGAGAAGTGCGTCTGTAAAAAGGTTACCAAGATGCTCTGGAAGGTTAGTTCAGTCAATTCCTGGAGAAGGATCTACTGGGCGTGTCTGGCGCGCATCGAAAGCCTGGTAGAGATTTGGATAGAAAGGTCTCCTCTGCTTAGGAGGTCTTCGGTGGGAAGATTACCTATGGAAGATGGTAGCTACCACAGGACACAGATGGTGGGGGAATCCACACTCGGAGAGCATTGGGGAGGAAGAATAAAAAACGTAATGACCAGTGCAAAGTAGCTTATCAGGGCATGCTGGTTTGTGCTTTTAAATTTTCTGGTTTTTCGAGACAGAATTTCTCTGTAGCCCTGGCTGTCCTGGAGCTCATTCTGTACCAGGCTGGCCTTAAACTCAGAGATCAACTGCCTCTGCCTCCCAAATGCTGAGATTAAAGGTGTGTGCAAGGGAAAGGAGCTTAAAACTTGATCTGCTAAAACAGTGGTTTTTGTTGTTTCAACATCTTGAGGTTTGAAATTTATGAAATCTCTTCATCCATCACTCCTAAAACACATGGGTGCATACAGCAGAAGTTATATAAATGGTTATCATAGAGATTTCCTTCATTCGGAAACTGCTCCAGGACTCCAGCCCAAAGCCAGAAGGAAATTTCTCTGGTTAAGGAGCACACACAAGAAACAGGTAGAAAGAATTCAGGCTAAGCAATTTATGCTTCCAGGTTTTCCCACCTACTTCTGTTTCAAGGGGTCATTCAGAAGTCACTTCGGATTTCTGAACACAGAATCACAGTCTGTAGCTTTGTTTGTCACAAAGCAAACGCTGTACAGGTCTGAGAATCAACTAAAGCCAGAGTTGGCTAGAAATAGGCAATCCCGGCCCCCATCCAGAGTTACAGGGGTATTAGATGCTAGGACTGTGGGTGATGGTAAATCTTTGATGTTGTAACCTAATACAGCTGAGATGGTTTACAAAGTGATAGGCACCCTTCTCCCCCACTCCCACCCCCCCAGTGGTTTATTGCCATCAATTCAGCTATGCTGGGCTAGTGTTGATGAAGATAATTTGGAAAGGTGAGCCTGGGAAGGATTACAGTTTACTTTCCTGGCTGCTTAAAATGTTTGCTAATTTCCTTTGTAAAATTTTGTCATCTGTGTTTTAATAGTGCAAAACGTTCAAAGAACACTCTGAGAAGCACGTATTCCAGGAAACAGGTAGGCAATCTTTGTTACTGTCATTTTTTTTAATAAGCCATTAGAGCAAAGCTATCATTTTGTGGGAATGACATTTTTGTAGACTTCTCTTTTTGTTTTTGTTTTTTGTTTTGTTTTGTTTTTTTCGAGACAGGGTTTCTCTGTGTAGCCCTGGCTGTCCTGGAACTCACTCTGTAGACAAGGCTGACCTCGAACTCAGAAATCTGCCTGCCTCTGCATCCCAAGTGCTGGGATTAAAGGCGTGCGCCACCACAGCTTAGACTTAACAAACATTTTTTTTTCTTTTTTTCTTTTCTGTCCCCCTCTACCCCCAACAAGGTTTCTCTATACCCTTGACTGTCCTGGAACTCACTCTGTAGACCAGTCTAGGCCTTGAACTCACAGAAATCCACCTGCATCTGCCTCCAAAGTGCTGGGCCACCATTGATACCTTAGCCTCCTCTTCTACACTTGATAAACTTTTTTTATAGCAACTTTAAGATGTGTTTTATCCAGAATGATGGAAAAAAGGAACTTCGTTAACATTTTAGAACCATCTTTTCTTCTGAATCTAGTTTCTATTTTTATTCAGATATTTGACATCACATCATTTGTAAAAGCTTTATAATGTTCTGAAACGTCATTTTTTTCACTTACAGCAGTTTCTCCGTGCTACGGTTTTTTAACAGCTGCATGCGGGTTTATAGTATTCCTCTTGGTTCATATATAGTTTTATTTTTCTTCAGGAAATGCATGTTAAAAACAAGTGCATTTGTGTAACACTCTTGATTGCTAATTTCAAAATCTTATCCAATGCCATTTCAAGTTAGTGTGATGAGGGCGCTTGCTTTTCAGGTTCAGGGTTGGCCCTTCAGAGCGCCTTTGCCCTTCTTGTCTGTCCCTGGCTTTCTCTGTCTCAGGCTCCCTGCCCTGCTGAGCTGACTCTAGCCTTGGATAATGCTCCTGCATTGTGGAGACTGCCTGGCATACTCCCTGGAGACCTTGCTCCTTTCTCCTGGCCACCATTGCTCAGCGTGTCTAGAAGCCACAGTGCCCAGGGGGAATTCCCCACGCCAGTGTCTGGAATGGTTATTCTCTGCATGCATCTGATGATGCTTCTTTGGCTTGACAGCAAACCCTTCTGCTGTTTCTTGGCATCTCTCCATATAGCATTCCGTGAATGAGGCTCTCCCCGAGGCTGAGAATTTTGTCTGCCAGACATATTTGCATATTCTTCATATCTTCCAGACTTTTCTTATCTGTTAGTAATAATATCGTCTTGTAGTTTGTAAGCTACTGTAGAAGATTTTCTTGTTTTTTGGTCTCTCATCAGGATTTAGGATTTACTCTATGTATTGAACTAGATTGAACTGGAAGCCTTAGTTACTGTCTTATAGGGAGGAGGCTTCACCCCGATGTGCATTCTAAACTGCTTATGAGCTCTTGGACATGTGTCCTTTTTCTGGGGAGGGGATCATAGCTTCCCCTATACCAAGGATTTAGGTAAATGATACCCTGTGGGCCAAATGTAGCCTGCCATCTGTCTTTGTACAGCCTTGTGAACTAAGAATGTTGGGAATTTAATTGGTTTGGTTTGTTTGCATTCTAAAATGATTTAAATAGGGTGGACATGATGGCTCCCAACTGTTTATAATCCTAGCACTTGGGAGGACTTCTGGGAGTTGAGTTTGAGGCCAGCCTGCATACACAGTGAAACCCTGTCTCAAAAAAACAAAAATAAATCAAAAAAACCAAAAAACGTTGTCTTAGAATGACCTATAAAAATTATAGGAAATTCTCAGACAAGTTCTGCTGAAACATAGTCATGTTCATTCCTTCCTGTCATCAATATCTGCTTCTGTATGTAATAGCACAGAATTCTAGTGGCCCCCGGAGCCTAGAGGTCTAGTCTCCATTGAAATGGTTTACCCAACCCTGCCTTTGATCATCAGAGTAGTCCGTGGATCAAGAAGCACTAGGTGTTTCCACGGGCTTCAGGACTTGCTAGAGGGCCGCTAGGAGGGAGTTCAACTGTACAGCGGTTGCTGGTTCAGTGATTGCTTTCATTCACTTTCAGAACGCTGGCCAAAAGCCCAAGGCCAAGCCCAAGGTCAAGGACGTGTTTGACTTTTCTAATTGTTCTGACGTCTCAAACATACTGGGAGAACTCGAGGAAGAAGAGGAACCGTACGAAACCTTCGGTCAGTGTTCTAAGTCCCTATTCATGACTGGAAACAACAACGCTTAGTTAACAAGAGTTGTGTGGTCATCTTCACTATCTAATTCCAGAACATTTTCAGCCTAGAAGAAACCCCCTGACACCAGTCAGCCCCCTCTCCCTTGCTTTGATCCCTGGACACCATATGTTTACTTCCAGTTTCTATGGAGTCTTCTCTTTTGACATTTCCTGTGTATAGAATCATATAGCAGCTATCCCGTTCTGGTGGGATTCTATGAGTTAGCAGCACGTTTTCAAGGCTATAGTGTGCATGTGCACTTACTTCATCCTTACATTTTATGACTCAAGTCGTGCTCAGTTGGCTTTGTTTTTTTTTGTTTTTTTGTTTTTTTTCTTTTTCTTGATCACAGTGCTGCTGTGAACACTCATGGTCAAGTTTTTTCCACGTGGGTGTGGATGGTGTGTGTGGACATCTGTTGAGTTCTCTGAGACATACGCTTAGGAGAATTGTTGAGTCTATAGCAACTCTGGTATTAACAGTCGATCTGTCTTTTTTATTCTAGCCAGCCTAGTGAGTATAAAATAATGTCTCATTGTAGTGTTGTATGCACAGAGAGTAGATGTAGAACATAAAATTTACTATCTATCTATCTATCTATCTATCTATCTATCTATCTATCTATCTATCTATATTTATCCATTTATTTAGGTTTTTTGAGACAGGATTTCTCTGTGTAGCCCTGACTGTCTTGGAACTCACTCCGTAGACCAGACCAGTTTTAAGTGAGCAGTTCTGTGGTAGCTCAATCCATTGACGTTGGTGAATGTGATGGTGAACCCCTTCTTAGCATTCCTCTCCAGACTTTCAGTTTTCTTAACTCGGACTCTGTAGCTTTTAAACAGCTCCCTGCTGTCTCAGCCCACCCCTGGCAACTGCTCTGTGAATTAGACTACTCTGAGAACCTCACATTAGAGGAAGATACTTATTGTCTTAGGTTTACTATGACTGATGAAACACCATGGCCAAAGTTATGTGGGGTGGAAAGGGTTTATTCAGCTTACATTTCCTCCTCATCAAAGGAAGTCAGGACAGGAACTCAAATAGGACCGAAACCTGGAGGTAGGAGCTGATGCAGAGGCCATGGAGTGGTGCTTCTAACTGGCTTGCTCCTCATAGCTTGCTCATCCTGCTTTCTTATAGAAACCAGGACTACCAGCCCAGGGGATGTCACCACCCACCATGGGCCAAGCTCTCCCCTATCAATAACTGAGAAAATGCCCTACAGGCTTGACTGCAGTGGGATCTTACGGACACGTTTTCTACATTGAAGCTCCCTTCTCTCATGACTTTTGCTTGTGTTCAGTTGTTATAAAACTGCCCGACACACTTGTCCTCTTGTGACTGCCTAATTTCGTTTGGCTTCTTGCCTTTTGGTTGATCTCTCTCATCATGTTTCCAAACTGCCCATTGTCTTGTTTTGTGTCTGTGGTAGATTGAGCCCAGGGTCTGGCATATGGACTGTCTTTGTAAACTTGAAATCAAGTGGTGGCACATTGTAATCATAGTCCTTGGGAGGTGGAAGCAGTAAATTCAGAGGCCAAAAGTCATTCTCAGTACACAGCCTGGGCTACATGAATACATAGCCTGGGCTACCAACAAAAACAGAAAGCTGAATTCATTGTCCACTCGTGTGCCAGTGGAGATTTGGTGTGCAGATGTCCCAGAATCCCTGTTCTCACTTGCGTGCAGGTGAGATAAGATCCCTGGGGTATGTGTGGATCCCTGGGCTGTATGTGGGTTATACTGTGGTAGGCTTATGTTTCTGAGGAATCCTTGGTGCTGTTTCCCACAGTGGCTGCCACATTTTGTGTCTTACCATTGGCATGCATGGGTCATAGGCTTGTTAGTTTTGACTTTCTTTTCTTTCTCTCATTTTCTTTCTCCCTTTTTCCTCGTTTCTCTCCTCTCTTTTCCTGGTTATAGTTATCTAAGGGATGTGAAGTGTGTCTCACGGTTGCATGTATGTTTCTGTAATGATGTCACGGGTGTTCTTGATGTGCTCTCAATCAGTTGTAAATCTTTACTGAAGAAATGTCTTTTTGGATATCACCCATGTTTAGAATATTTTGTCTTTTATTGTTATAAGTTGCTAAAGCTGACTACTTGTGGAAATTCAAGATTGACTTGTCTTTGTGCATCCGCTGATGACCACCCCGGCTATAGAATAAATAAATACCATTGAGAGCATCATGGAATGTTGTATCAGTCTTAAAGTCATACAGTCGACATGCTCAGTATTCAAGCTGCTGTTTATTTTGGGAAGAAGGTTATTAAGTTTGTACCTCATGCTAACATTTGAGAACAATGGTTGCTTGGGTCTTCCCATCTCTCCTGTAGCAACATAAGTGTGGGAGGACTCGGCACCTCTCTTGTCCCCTCAGATTTTCCATCCCTGCCGTTTCTCCCTCCCCATAGTGCGGTCTTCTTACTGTCTTTCTCGAGGAGGTAGGAGTGGCCTGGGCATCTCCTGTCCCTGCCGCCCTACCTATTGCTCTAGGGTAAAAGCTCTTGCAGTCTGGGCGAGCCTGACAGGACAGGGTGAGAGGATGACATCTCTGTAGGACGGCATTCATGCTCGCAGTCATTGCCGGCTAAATGAAGCCAGGGAGATGCACACTGTAAGCCGGAGCGGTTGATAACTAGTGCAGCGGCCGCCCGGGTATGCTAACACATGGTGGTGAAGAAAGGCCATGTTAGGTCCTATCCGTGCTCATCTTGTGTTCTGAAAACATGTCTATTAATATACGTGAGAATACAGATCAATGATTTGACAACATTATTTTTAAAAGCTTTGTTTGGATTTATTTTGTGAGTATGAGTATTTTGCATGTATGGCTGTACCATGTGCATGCATAGTGTCCATGGAAGCCAGGAGAGGGCCTTGGGTGTCCTGGAATTGGAGTTATAGAACATTATAAGCTACCATGTGGGTTCTGGGAATCAAGTCAAGTTCCTTGGCAAGAGCAAGTGCTCTCAAACACTGAGCCACCTCTCCAGCCTCTGAAAACCTTATTGGCAATAAGGTTTTCTATTACCAAGGTAGAAGATAAAACTATTTGGAAGTAGCCTATGGAACTAACTTTGACTTTTTCGGCCATTTAAACAAACAAAATATGGTGTTTTTGTCTTTGCAGACCCCCCTTTGCACAGTACTGCTATCTACACAGAAGAGGAGCTGTCCAAACACTGTGTGTCCTCCACCTCCCCAGCCACCCACAGAGGAAAGGAGGGCAGAAAGTACGGCTCGACCTCAAGCTGCTGGGGTTTTCCGTTTGTTTGCTTGTTTGTGAGAGTTATGTGTGGGTGTGTGCAAGTGAGCACAGGTGCCTGAGGAGCCTAGAGAGGGCGCATCCCTGGCGGCGGCGCATCCCCGGAGCCAGAGTTACAGATGGTTCTATATCACCTGACGTGAGAGCCTGGAACTGAACTCAGGGCCTGGGGAGAGCAAGTGCTCCAAACGGCTGAGCCATCTCCAGCCCTTAAGCAGTTGTTTTTTATAGAAGCTAAGAAAACTAGTCATTTCAGGATCTTTTGAGTCAGATTATTATGATTGTCCTCCAAAGCTCTAACTGGTATACAGCAACATAATTTTCTGTAATTGTTATTACTTATAATTATGATTGGCACCTAGTTATCTTAGTGTGTTGCCTCTTTAGTTGGGTTACAGTTTTTCAGTGAATCTAGAGGGGCTGGTATCTGTGGTGATGAGCCAGTATCTGTTCATGGGCTCAAAGGCTCTGTATCCTTTAGTGATGTCTTAAGTTATTAAATTATTATTTAGATTTTAAATCTTTCTTGGGTTTATTCCAAGTTTAGTTATTAACATTTTTGTTTGTTTGGTAATTACTATAAACAGGGCCTTTCATTTTATCATTTTATCTGTTGTAGTTAATTATACTTCTTACATTAAGCTCTCTGTGTGAGTGTGAGTGTGAGAGAGAGAGGGGGGGGGGTAGAGGAGTGTCCTGAGTGTCCTCCTCTATGGCTTTCTACCTTAATTTTGTGAGACATAGTCTAATGAACCTGGACCTCATGAATTCAGCCAGACTGGCAGGCCAGGAGCTCCTGGGGGCCTCCTCTCTCCACACTAGTGAGCACTGGGGTTAGAGCCAGCTTTTTACGTGGGTAAGAGGGGCATTTGAGAGACCAGTGGCAACATGTTTTCAAGGTAGGGATGGGGAGGGTGGCCAGTTATCTCAGGGACGAAGGGAAGTGGATGGGTGTGAGGCGTAGTCCAGACACACAGCAGTAGGTCTGGGTGATGCTGGAGAATAGCTGCCATTTGGGCTGCTCTGAGGTTCCTTCATAGTCAGTGATTGATGGGTGTGTGGGGGGTGGGGGTGGGGAGATGCTAATGGCATTGTCGCTAAGGGAAGGCCTTAGCAAAGTAAGGCAGGGCTTGCATAGAAGTACAAAAGAAAGTCAGGGCTGGGGGAGGCATGGAGAGAGCTTAGAATGTCCCAGGGCACCAGGCCTCAGTGATCTTTGGTACCTTTGCCAACTGTTTTGTTTTTGCATCCCTGCCTCTTTTCTCTCCCTCTATCTCTCCCTCTTTCCCTTCTTTCCTCTGTCCCTCCCCAGCCTCCTGGATAGCTGGTGTGTCATGGAGAGGCCCTGCATCTGAGGCCATCTCTGCTGGGTCCAAAGCATGTAGCTTTGGTTGTTGTTCTTAAATCTTCCACTGCCCAGTCTGCCTGTGTCCACCTACCCAAGACTCTAAATTAGCACAGGGTCTCCTGTGTTCTACACACAGTAGGCATTATCCCAGTGATGGGCCTAGTGATGCCCCACAGTGTTGGGAGCAGTGACTTGGAGGAAGTTCTCAGACTTGACCACTCTGGACCACAATTACTCACTTGCCTAGGAAAAACTGATGTGAGTGAGCACACATGGGAAATGGGCAGTCAATCAAAGGTGACAGACCCGCCCACAAGGTAGAAAACTCAGTTCCTTCAGCTTGTATTCATCCAGTAGAAAACCTTACGCATGAGATACTGACTGACGGCTTGTTGTTTGGCACAGCTTGAAGCCCTCTGAAAATGAAGCGAGTGGAAATGAGTCTATAAAAGTCAGCGCAAAAAAGGTATGGGGAGTGTTCCGCCTTCTGTCTTAATTGTAAGATACGTTCCGCTTTACTGGAGTAGATGCAAACAGAGAAAAATGTCCTGTAGCAGTGCTTTTTAAATCAGAAATGCCTTAGAAGTAAAGGAAGTTTTAAAAATAAGTTGTATTCCTTTATTTTGTGTATGTATGTATGTATGTATGTATGTATATACATCTGTACATATGTGGGCATGTATATGGATCTGAGTATGCAGGTCAGAGGCCAGCCTGTGGGAGCCGGTCTTCACTTGCAGCCCGCAGGTCTCAGGATTGACTCAGACCACCAGTCCTGGTGGCAAGTACCTCTCCCTGCTGCGTATCAGACCAGCCCAGGAAGGATAGTTTTCTATCTGAAGATTAAGAAAGAATTTTCAGGTCTCTCTTTACCCAGTCTGTTTCTGTAGCGTCTGATCCTGTGTTCAGCTTGTGGTTCACAAAGGCAGAGAGTTAGGCAGCATCCTGGTCACACTGGCTGCTACATGTCACGATCAGCTATGTTTATAAATGAGAAACAGGAACTACTCAGTTCCCTGACGATAGAAGAATCGCATGATTTGAATTTTCTAAACTAGCATGCTGTTACCTTCATAGCCAAAGAGAAAGCTGGAGCCGATCAGTGGTGAGTCTGACAGCTCTGAACACGACGTGAGGAGAATGGCTTCTGCAGAAGGACGAAGGTCACGACAGCCCCAGGCTGCTTCTGCAGCCTCGTCACCCCCTGAGAGGCCAGCGGAGGCGGTCACTCCCAGGAGGACAAGACTCCACAGCGCTCCGTCCCCTGCTGTAGAAGAGACTCCAGCCACCCAAAGTCAACTGGTGAGCAGTGCTTGCCGTCCACCCTCGGAGAGAGAAGAGCTCATTAAAAAGATGAAGGAGGGAATAAAAGAGTTTGTCTTATTTTAAAAATAGGTTTAGCGCTTTTATCACAGAAAGCAGTGTTTCTTTTAGAAAAACCTGGAAGATCTAGAAAGGAAGATAAATTTATCTACAATCCCATAACCCAGAATAGCACCTGTCCTGAGGTGCATTCCACGGTTCTTCCCTGGGCTCTCCTTGCCATCTGCTAAGAGTCCCACAGCATCAATCCTTTTAATTAACTAGTGCTTGCACGCTGGCCATTTGTGGATGCCCATTGTATCTATTGGTGAAAATTACAATGTCGGTGCATTGATGAATTTCTTTTTTAAAATTATTTCTTTTATTTTTGAGACTAATCACACCATTTTTCCCTTTCCTTCCTCTAAACCTTCTCATATATTTCTATTGCTCTTTTTCAAGTACTTGGCCTCTTTTTTCACTAATTGTTAGGGTGTATGTGTTCCTAAACCTGCTCAGTGATGGATTTTTCTGAAGCAGAATCTTTGTGTATACTTTGATTGGGTCATGGGTCATATTTGTTCTCAAGGTAATTGAAGTATAGTATGTTGGTTCATGTTCTTAAATATCGTTTTGTTAGTTCACTTGGTCAAATATGTTGTGACTGTGTTTTGATATTACAGGCTTGCTTTTGCCCTGTGCTAGGGTGAGTGTGAAAGCCTAAAACATTTTCCCAATATCTGACTTAGTGGGACTCACCTTTTCTGTTTGTAATTGCTTTATGACTAATTGCCATAAAGTTAGTGGTGACATCTCATGTGGGCTTGGATTTATTCTTAAAGTGTTTTCAAGTTGTTGATAGAATTCAGTTCATTGAGGCTTTAAAACTAAGGTGACTGTTTTGTTTCTTTTTGGAGGTTGGGGCTGCCTCAGTCCCTGCAGGTGCTGATCACGGGGCTCCTCAAGTATGGCACCTGCAAAGCCAGCCGGATGCTCCGGGTTACAGAAGTGTTCTTACTCACAAATAAGAACCCAGGGAGCAGAGCCTGCCCTGTTCCCAACACCACTTCTTCAAGAGGGAGGGGATTCTGCCTGCCAGTCATCTTGGAATTCCTCTTAGCATAACCCAGTGGTCTCCCTAGTGGATCCAGTCAGGAGTTGGTTTTAGGCTTCATTAGGAATTGGGTCTCAAGCAGGATTCCTGCCAGGAGTGTTTCTCAGCGGGTTTGCATTTCTGTCCTCTCTTAGGCAATCCCATAGACATAGTTAAACTTCACCACCCCAGTGTGCTGAGTGGTGTTGCTTCATGTACGGGGACCCGCTAGCCCTGAGATTGTTTATTAATCTTCGTTGAGTTCTAAATAAGCACTGCAGCAAAAATCAGTTGGTGGTTTGAGAATGTTGTCTCCCTAATCCTTAAATTTCAAGGAAAAGAATTTTTCCTAAATTAAAAACCTATATGGTTTGTTTTGTTTTTTGGTAGAAAACTCAGAAGAAAGTGAAGCCATCTCCTGGCAGGAGGAAGAGACCAAGGCCCGGAGCCACAGACTCAGGTACAGATGGCACTTTATGACCTGTCACTTGTACTGGACATCTCAGGCAGAAGGCTATTTTTAAGTTGTCTTAGTTGTTGAAATAGCAAACAGGTTTGTTTTTTTGGGCAGGCATTGAGATAGAGTCTCTCTGCGTAGCTCTAGCTATTCTGGAACTCACTGTGTAAACCTTCTGGCCTTGAACTCACAGAGATCCATTTGCCTCTACCTCCAGAGTGCTGGGACTAAAGGCGTACACCACCACTCTGGCTAAAAATGCCACTTGATTAAGAAATTATGACTTTGGAATAGCATTTTTATCATTTTGTTGTGAAAATTTAAAAAATGAATATTTATACATGCATACAATGTGCTTTAATAAAATCTAACCCCCATCCTCTCCCCTCTTCTCCTTACTTGTCCAAAGTTCAGTTCCCAGAACCCACATCAGGCCGTTTACCACAATTCCAGCCTCTCTTGGCCTCCATGGGTACCTGCGTACATTCACATAGACTCATATACATCATAAAAGGAAAGATGAATCTTCTTTTTAAAGATGAGCTTCCGTGCTGCTGTCTGTACTCACTACACTCTCTCTGCTGTTGCGACTGAGGGTTCGAGTTTGGGCTTTATAAATAAAGCCTGTCCTACCCACCCCACCCCTTTGGTTTTCTCTTCCATTTCTTTATTTTTCTATCCCTTGCAGTGCTAGGGCTTGACCTGGCATTGCCCATCCTAGGAAGGAACATTGAGCTGCGTCTCCAGTCTCTATGAACTGCTCCCCATTCCGGGAACATTTTTATGTACAGTTTTATCAAGATGTTTTTATTTTTCTTGGAGGACTAGAGAGTCAAGTTGTTGAGTCATAAAATACATATCTCCCAGTTTCCTAAGTCACTGTAAACCCCTACTGTATGCTACCCAGTTTAAAATGGGATTGAAAACAAAAATAGCAATGTCATGGGACCAAGTGTAAAGAGGCCACACTGCAGCAAATGACATGTGCACCCTGTCCCAGAAAGCAAGGGGGTGACATAGGCAGGGCCGGCAGACTGCTGGGGCAGGAAGAGATGGCTATGGCCCTAGCTGTGTTTATACTCAGATAGGACTAATTGTGTTCAGGGTTTCAGAGCTTGGGCCTCGAGCCAGTTTACAGATATTGAGTCTATAAACTGACATGTACTTGATATTCTAGATGCTTCTGAAACTATGCATATTTGGTGTCTGGAAGGAAAGAGACAGAGCGACATCATGGAGTTGGACATTATTTTGTCTGAATTTGAGCAAACTTTCCTGGAGTATAAGTAAGTCCTTTGACGTTGGCATCGGTGGGCCTGATGAGCTGTGCTCAGAGTGGCACCATGTCCATCCCAGTTCCTGGTGTTGTCACGATTAGAGTCCCTTTGCATACATTTATTATGCTAGTTCAAGTTATTGGATCATCTATTCTCGATGTTTCTCACAGACTTTGATCTAGGAGTGTGTTTCTCCAGTGGTGTTGGTTTTTCTCAGATGGGTAGTATATGCCAAGTATTGTCCACGTCAGTCCCTGCCAGCTCCCATGAGAGCAGCGGTGGGGAGGAGCCGATCTAGGCATCCAGGCCTTGGACTTAGCAGCTTATTAAGGGTATTTAAGGGTAGTTGTGAGGAACTGCTCCCTTCAGCTCTCTAGTAGACTCAATGGGAGAAATTCTCGATGTTGTTATAGAAGACTGTGGTGGATCCCGGAAGCATCCCTTCCCTACCATCTGGTTTCCTTTCTGTTACTGTGGTAAAATATCCCAAGGAGCCACTCAGGAGGAAAGGGGGTTTATTTTAGATCAGTTCCAGGTTGTGGTTCATCACTGAGGGAATCAAAGCTCAGGCACTTGAAGCAGGTGGTCACATCCACAGACCACATCAGACAGAATAAATGCAGACAGACTTGCTGATTCTGCAGGCCTTTCCACTCTGTTCCCTTCCAGGCCCCTGTGGAGCAGCACAGCCTACATTCATGGTGGGTCCTCTCACCACAGTTAACTCTCTAAACAGCCCTCACTGACATGCCCCTAGGACATCGGGATCTAGACTCCCCTGTGAGACTCTTCCCAGGAGATTCTAGATTGAGTCTTGACAAAACCAAACATCCTGTCACGTCTGCTAACCTTCCCTCTCCCAGACTTGGTCCTCTGCCCCATCCCTCGTTCTCTGGTGCACCCGCTCTAAAGATGTTGGCCAGGTGCTGTCTACCCAGGACCCAACTTTCTGCGAGCAGACGAGTGCTTAGTCTCCCCTGGAACAGTACTCTTAGCCATCCTGACAGTTGTGAAGTACACCGTAATGTTTTAAATGTGAAAACACATAACAGAATGTACCACAGGCCATTTTTAAGCTGCAGAGTGGCCAGCTATCTGCAGCATACACCTAGAGCTTACTCATTTGGCAAAACTGAAAATCTGCAGCCATTAAAACAGTTGCCCACTTTCTCCTCTCCACAGCAGATACTTTTATGAATATTGGTGTCTTTTGGTCTCCTCAGTTCTTTCTGTGCATATAGCCAGAAGTTGAATTGCTGAACCACGTGACATTTAAAAAAAAATTTTTTTAAGCATCTGTTTTTCTGAGAAGTTCACACCGTTTTATAATCCTCCCCTCAGTAACTGGGAAAATGGCTCAGAAGGTAAGAGGATTTGCTGTGCAAGCATAAGGACCCATGTGTGGATCTGAGTCCACAAAAGAAGCTGGGGGTGGCTGTGCTCGGCAGAGACAGGAGAGCTGGGAGCTTTTGCCTCCATACTATGTCCTGGTTTGATGGGAAACCTGGTCTCAGAGGATTAAGGTGGAGAGTGACAGAGCAGGACTCGGTTGTCTCCCCGCTCTCTGTGAAAGCATGGACATGTGTGCATACACTGCCCCACCCCCACCGCCACATTGCAGCCTACCTTGTGCATACTTAGTGCACACGTGTGTGGATGTGGATACAGGCATGTTCTATAGATTTCATTTGTTTCCCTCATGATTAATGTGGCTGAATATGTCTGTGCATGCTAGTCACTTCTCTGTCTTCTCTTTTTAAAAACAATTTACAGGCAAAGAATAGAATCTGAAAGTTGTAATCAAGCCATCAGCAAGTTTTTTTTTAAAGTTAAAGGAGAACTCATCAGAATCGTAAGTTTCTTGTCGCTATTTATTTATTTATGTATTTATTTGAGACAGGGTCTTTGTATGTAGCCCTGGCTGTCCTGGAACTCGCTATGTAGACCACACTGCTCTCAAATTCACAGAGATCTGCCTGCCTCTGCTTCCCAGGTGCTGAAATTAAAAGCAAATACTAATACACCTGGCTACTCTAAAATTTTTTAAGCTAAAGTTTGGACATTATCCTGTAGTTATAGAAAAGCTTGCACTTGCTGGCTTGGTGATGAGGAACACGTGAGAACTACTCTTATTTCCTCCTGTGGGTGTGTGGATGTGGAGTCATGCAAGTACACGTATGTGAAAGCCAGGGGCCCATGCTGAGTAACTTTCATCAACCACTCTGCAATTCATTGTTGAGACAAGGTCTCACTGAACTTGAAGCTCACTGACGTCTCCAGGCTGGCCAGCCAGTGAGCTGCAGGGACCTGCTCTCACCAGCCCCTTATAAAAATCCAATGTGCCAGTGCCAGGGATCCAAACTTGTATCTCCCCAGGGCCTTCTCATGTGGGACTTTACACAGTTAATTTTGGAAACTTAGATATACTTTGTTTTGTTGTCGTTGTAGCTTAAAGAAGTCCAGATGTTAAAAGCCTTGAAAAAAAAGAATACCAAGGTAATCACTAAGTCTCTTAGCAGTCATGGGTTATGAACCAGGGGAGTAAGGAAACGCTTGCTTTTAGTTTTGTAACCTGCAGTTTCTATAAGGGCCTTTGTGGGTTTGGTCAGGTTTTTATTTACTTTTGGAATGTTAACGAACACTGAGGAATGGAGATTTCTGCTACCTTTTGTTGTTCCAAGTTAGCCTCCCAGACAGCTTGTAAAGAGAGAAGGTTAGTTACCCCTGGGCCTGTAGTGAATGAAACTGCTAAACAAGTCAAACCAAGAGGCAAGAGGAGGAGTATCTGTGGGCCCAAAGTCTTCAGAGAGGCCCACTAAGCTGTACTGGTCTGCTTGTTTCCTGTCCTTTCAGTGCCTAGTGCAGTGAGCCAAATGCTGAAACTTCTCCAGTGTTAACCTAAGTGCGTTATTGTATTGCTCAGATAATTTCCGACATGGAAAAGAAAAGGCAGCGTTTAATTGAAGTCCAGGATGAACTGATTCGGTAAGGTAATGTCCTGCTCCTGCTGAGAACTCACTTAAAGGGCAATAGAGAGTTTGTCACTTAGGGAAGTGCTGTAAGGACCCTCCACTCCGATCTGACCCTCAGTGTCTGGCCTCAGGCAGCCTGATTACAGCTTAAGTGAGTAGACTACAGGATGACTGCCTAGAACTTGAATCAGGCTCTACCATTGACTGCAACCTTGGGTTTAGTTACTGACTTTCCAGGGCCTCAGCCCCCTCCTGTGTATATGGGCATAATTGTACCTGTTCCTTAGAGGGTGCAGTGTCAGTCAGTGAGCCTAGGCAGAGGTCTGTTTATGCTGCTTGCTTGCTTATTTTACTTTTTGAAGATGGTCTTGCTATGTAAGCCAGTCTGGTCACTGGCTCTTCAGTGACTGTTGAGATATACATCAGTCCATATTATGAGGTCTAGGGTTGGGGGCAGTCCCCATGCCCTGGGGCTAGTGCACACACTGTGGTAGCCTGTCTGTCCATTTTGCCCTTTTGAGGTTTGGAGTGTGAGCCAGAGGCTTAAGTGTAGTAAAATTTGCTGTGCTCTCTACTCTGAAGATGCTTTTAAAAGTGCTTGGACAGGCTGAGGATGTGCCTCAATCGTAGAGCACTTGCCTTCCTGGCATGAACAGCTGTGGGTTTAATTCCTAGGACCACATGACTGTGGTAGCAGGAAGTATGAGTAGAACGAAGATTTGTGAGCAAACACTTGAAATACTGTAATTAACTACTAGGGTTTTGTTTTGTTTTGTTGAGACAGGATTTCTCTGCATAGCTCTGGCTGTTCTGGAACTTAATTTGTAGACCAAGCTGGCCTTGAATTCTTATAGATCCACCAGCCTCTGCTTCCTGAGTCCTGGGACTAAAGTGGATACTACCTTGCCTGGCTAAGTACTAGGTTTTAAAGTGACTTCCACAGGATTTTGAGAAAGACAAATTAGTTGTTTATTCCATTATTTACAAAGTTTGGTTTGGGTTTTTGTTCTTTGTAATAGGGGCACCTTAATATTTTCAGTCCACAAACAATATTTCTATTAATTTGTATTTTGTACAATTTGTTTTTGAGATTTAAAAAAAAAAATCTGTTTTCTAGATTAGAACCACAACTGAAACAACTACAAACAAAATATGATGACCTTAAGGAGAGAAAGTCATCACTTAAGAATTCCAAACATTTCTTATCTAATTTAAAACAGCTGTATCAAGATTATTCAAACATTGAAGAGAAAGAACCAAAGGAAAAGGAAAAGGTGAGTTCTGTTCACTGTGCATCAGAAGATGGTACAGGCATTTTGCTTGTAGAGTCCAGTAGTTGTGAAGAAAGGTAACAAACAGCATTGTTGTAAGTCAATCAGACCACAGCATCACCTTCTAGCTTCTTAATGAAGAGAAGAGCCTGTTACTCCTCAGTCCCCCAGGGCAGGGTGTACTGTGCACGACTCTGAGTTGAACAGCTGCAGTCTGCTTTACTACAGCTTCTATCCGTACTCAGCTCACTGTGATGTGTTGTAAAGACCAAGCACCTTTTGTCTAGCTGTGTTCATGCTGTAGAAACTGTTTCACTGAAATGCCAGGAGTGTCTTGAGAGGCTGAGAAACAGTAAGACAGTTGGGAAAATGTAGTTTACTATTATTACTATTATTTTAATACTTTGAAGTTGCCTCTGAGACCTTGCTGTTGCCCTGACCCCAATTAATAGAAATGTTAGCTAAAAAATTATAAATTTGTATACCTAATAGAACTAGACAGATACTAACAGAATTGTATCTAGAGTTACACTAGCAGAATTGTGAGTAGAATGTAATGTATAAGTACACGCCGTGTCTTCCTGTACCTCATGAGGAGGCTTGTCTACTTCACCTCTAAACTCAATTTTAAGATCTGGCATTGACCGAAGTTTTCTTGAACTGAAGATCTGTTCATATATTAGAGCTATTAAAATATACATGCTTAAAATGTACCTCAAGTTTATTTTAGGAATTCGATTATTAAGTCTGTGAAAGTTAACGGTAGCATCGATCCAGTCTGAACATAGTCCTCAGGTACAACAGTATCTTGTTCCTCCTCCTTGGTCTCGCTAGGCAAATGTGCTCCCTGATCTCCCCCAAGGCCCGAAAACCAAGCTGCTGAACTACTTTGGAATACACCGCCCCCACACAAGGTTGTGCACCTCCAGTGTCTGTGGCACTGCTGCTAGTGTAGCGATGACCCCACTTCTGTGACATCTGGATTGTCACACCTCTTCTTATCGAAACCTACAGCTCCAAGTGAACTCTTCCCACTTCTTAGGGAGCAGGCACTAGGGTGTCTTGTGAGTAGGCTATTGTACAGGTGTTGGGTTGACTTCTCTGAAAACATGCTATGTGTGTGGCAAAAATCAAATCCCACCATCAGACAGCTTTTCTGCTCAGTTCTCATCGCTAAGAAAAATACCTTGGGAGCACATTTACCAGGAAGCTGCCAAAATCTGGTAAATTATTTAAGAGGAATTTAATTTTCTTTAGATAGTTTGCAACAGAAAGTTTGGTTTTATTATTATTTCTAAGTCATGAGTTGGGTTCTGTGTTATAATTTAGGTTTTGTAATTTAGGTTTGGTGTTTTAATTTTAACTGTAGATATTTGGTTTGGCAAGCTTTAATGCATAACTGACCCAGTAGGTAGCTTCTTAAATGATAACTTTGAGATCATTTCGTTATAGACTTTTACAGGCCAGTGTTCTCATTCCATTAGTTCTTGAAGTAAAAGAAAACTTGCTTTAGACATTTGTTTTAAAATAGATGAGATCGAGTTAGCGCAGCATGCCACCAACACACTTGTCTAGTCCAAGTTTCAGACATGGCTTGCTATTTTTAGTCATGTAGATGCCACAGTTCTTTGAGCCAATTGGTCTTGCCTGGGGTACAAAGATCTGTGAGAGCTTTGTTGAGCAGTTCCTCATGATATTAGCAGTTATGTTCTGAGGAGATGCGATGGGCTGAAACCTGCTTTCTAATAGTGATCCTAGTGAAACAAAAGGAAGCTAGCAGAAAATATCAAAATCAGCCTTGGTCATTAGGGTTAGGAACTAAAAAAATATTAAAGCATCACTATTTGTGAGTCTAAATAGTTTTTCTTTTATCAACAGTATGATTCCTCTAGCCTTCCAGCTCTGTTATTCAAAGCAAGAAGCATTCTGGGAGCTGAAAAACATCTGAAAACCATCAATTATCAGCTGGGGAAGCTCCTTGAGCAGGACTGAGAAACTGAAATCTCCTGCTGCCATTTCTTCTCCTGCCAGCCAGGCCTCTGTGCTGACACTAGTGAGGACTACTTATCAGGATGTACTGCCATTTTGTCATTCAAACTAAATTACACCACTTCACTTGTCTAATAGTTCAGAAGGCATAGCCATATTTCTGAGCATTGTGTTAATAAATTTCAGTCTCTTGGCATGTTAGTCATCACCAGGCATAAGAGTTTTAACCTACAATAAACTCTTTCATGATGTCAGTGCAAAGGCAAGCATAAAATAATTTGGTTAATTAGGAACGTTTACTGAATGATGTCAAAGATAACCTTCAATAAATCTGGCTTAAGTAAACAAAGTGACAGAACAGTTATTATAAATTAACAATAAGTTAGTATAATTAGATTTTTGTACGATGTTAAATGCAGGGCTTTGTACATCTTAGGTTAACATTGGGCTATAGTCCCAGCATGAATTTAACATTTATGTTATCAAATCTCAGGCTTCAGGAAAATTGTAGCCTCTTACGTATGTTCTATCCGCAGTCAGCTGTTCTGTAATGCTTCTATAATTAGTTCATCAGGAATATCGTCCAGAAGACTCTTATCTGCAGCATCAGCTAGTTCAGCATCTTCTGTAGCTTCTAAGAAACAGGCATCATCTTCGTCGTTCCAGTCAGCAGCCAAAAGCCCGCCTGCTGACAAGTTGCAGGATGGTGGGTTTTGAGAATCCTTGGTCAGTGAGTTGCTGGTTTCATCTGTTTCTTCAGAAGTAAAATCCTCCTTTATTTTGGAGGGAAGGAGGACAGAGGAATAAAGATTAGTCAGAATATGCGACTTCACCACAATGTAAGTTCTTAGTAGGAAGATAGGCTAGCTGGAGACAAGCTTGAAAATACATTTCTAAATTAACAAAAATCAATCCCAAGAACCTACGTTAAAAAGCCAGCATGCAATCCCTGTGCTAGGGAGAGAGAGAGACCCATGGATGCCTGGAGCTTGGTGGCCATGCAGCCAAGCCTCGCAAGTGATGCCAGCCCAGTGAGAAGCTGCGTCTCAACAAAGCCTCCTGAGGAATGACACCCAATGTTGTCCCTCTGGGACACAGGAGCATGCACACACACCTGAGCATGCACACACAGATGCATGAGGAAAGGAGGATGAAGGAGAAATGGAAATGTTAGCAGTTCACTTGAAAGGTGCTATTTCTATACTGTAATTTCTTTAAAAAAATAAAGTTATGTTCAAATAATGGTAATATTGTATACCAAGAATATTTTCACTTGGCATTTTTGAGGTATTATTAGAAAAGAAAAAATTTCCACTAAAGCTGCACCAAAATAAACCAATGGCTGGGAAGGTAGCTCAGGAGAGAGCCCTTGCTTCCCACGTATGAGGCCCTAGGTTCAGTTCCTGGCACTGCAAAAACTTAAACCAAACAAGAATGATAAACTGCTTTTTAAAGAGATAATTAAAATTTTTTCATAGTAGTCTGCTGGGGAGTCTGCATATCAGTTCTTTTGTGTCCCATCCCAGCATGTCAAGCATGGGATTCTCACTTTAAACGTGGATGTTGGGTCTGGAGAGACGGCTCAGTGGGTAGGGGCACTGCTGCTCCTCAGAGGGCCGCTTCCAGAGCTTCAGTCCCCGCACCTGCACGGCGGCTCCCAGCCACCTCTAACTACAGTCCAGGGACCCAGTGCTTCTGCATCCATGGGCGGTGCACAGATAATACATGCAATCAAGTCACCCATACATATAAAATAAAAAAACGTGAATATAATTGTTTCAGAAGAGATTCTAAGCTCAGATTTCAAAGGATGTCAGTTTTCTAGAATATAAATGTAAGAGGCATTTGTTCAGCTTGTAGCAGGTCATGTATTCTAATCATGGCAGTCAAAGAATGTGCTGATAGTTTTTAATGTGAAAATAAAAATGAAAAATTAACTCTAATACATGACAAAAAGTACTAAATAAATGATCAGAAAAATGGATCCTGAAATTCATAAAATAACCTAAAAAAAGCACAACTTCATCAATAAATACAAATAGATGGTGGTCTGCCACTTGTCACAGGCTGGCGATGGTCAGAAGGTGGCTGTCGGCCGCTGGCAGTCCTAGTGGCAGATGCTATCATCAGCACCTGTGCAATCTCAATTCTAGGACCTCATGGAACAGTTTGGTAATAGCTAGTAATGAAAGTGTTTGATACTTCATGGAAAAAAGATCCTGCCATGCACTATCACTTTGAAAACAAAATGAGCACACTCAAGTATGTAAGATTCATGCTAAACGTTTGCATCAGCTCCAAATTATGTGTGACTTTGTTACCTTTTTTTTTTTAATATCTCTTATGTACGTGTGTGTGTACCACATGCGTGCAGGAGCTTGTGGAAGTCAGAGAGCATTAGATCCCCTGGAACTGGAGTGGGAGCCACCGTGGGTGCTGGGGACTGGACTTGGTGCTCTTAAGTTTCCATCCAGACAACCCACTTTTGCTTTTTATGTATTTTCTACTTTTTTAGCACTAAATATGAATCATTTGGATTAAATGTTGGTTTTCCAAGCTAGTAATATCCAAAACCAAAATTGTGTATTCCCTCTGACATTGTTCAATAGATAGAAATCCAACCAGCAGCTACTGTTGGCCAAAGAGAAACTATGACAAGTACCTTGATCTTGGTTTACTCTTTAAAGCAAATTGTAAGAAACATCTTTATGCCTAGGACTAAATTTACTCCCTAGTGGCTCACGTTATCAGAGGCACTGAGGTAGGAAAATCACTAATATATTCCAAAGTGAACACTAGTGCCTTGAATTGTGTTTAAAGGCAATGTGGACACAGAAGACTGTGTGTGGTTCATTTATGCTATGTACCCAAACCCAAAGCCAAGAGCTATACTCACATCTGCCAGAAGAAATAGGAGACTGACTTCAGTGGGTAACGGGAAACCTGAATCAAAAAGATAAGGAAAAATAGTTTTAAGATGGATATCCAATTTTCTCTTTGTGGTAAATATAAAAATTAATAACTCACAGGTAGATTTGAAGTTTTGTGCTTTACATACAGGGTCATGGCATTTCTGATACCAAACTTCATTTTTCAGATCAACCAGAATCCTTAATGTATAAAGAAAAGAAAGCATTAATACTCATACTGGATAGAAAATAAAGTTTAAATATATGCCATTTGCCAGAGATGTGCCTAAGACTTAAAAGATGGAGAAAAATTCAAAAGCTAAAGGATGAAAATAAACATGCAGAACCAAAAGATAACTGGCTGCTAACAATACTACTCACGGGGGTGAGGAGAGGGATCCTACGTATGCGGACACGGGGTCTGCGTCTCTGTCTTGTGACCTGGTCTCCTTTCTTCGGTTAGTTTGTTTTGTCCTATTCCCACATGTTAGTCTTTGTTTTATCATTGTATCATGTTAGTTATATTATAATCTCTTAGAAGCCTGTTTCTTTCCTTTCTTTCTTTTTTGAGGCAGGTTTCTCTGTATAGTCTTGGCTGACCTGGAACTCACTTTGTATACCAGGCTAACCTAAAACTTGGTGATCTGCCAGCCTCTGCCTCCTGAGTGCAGGGATTCAAGGCATTTTCTGAGAGACAGAAAGGGGCCAATCTGAAGTGGAAGGGAGGTGGAGAAAACTGGGAGGAGTAGAGGGAGGGGAACTGTAATCAGGATATATTTTGGGAGAAAAAAATCTATTTTGAGTAAAAGAGATAAAAAGAAAAATACAAAGTTATTTATAAAAAGAGAAATGATACATTGTATGAACTTAATAAAAATTTTGTAAAGAAATTCTTTTATAAGACTTTGATAAAACAATTTCTTAGCAATCTACAGCTCATGCCAGGAGGTGGTAGTTACTAAGTAACCACCAAAAAAATCAGTAAAGATACAGAAAATATGAATAAAACAATACAGATGCAGTTAACCAACTTGACCTACTAGGCACATATGACGCAGCTCTTTGTAATCATGTGCAAGTCATTAATAAAGACCAGCTCCATGCTATACTCTGAGCATCCTTAAATTTAAAATTATTAGTTTGAAGGCTAGAGAGATGACTGAGTAGGACTTACTACTCCTGTAGAGGACCCAGTTCAGTTTGAAGCACCCACATCAGTTGGCTCACAACTGCCTGTATCTCCAGTGCCAGGGGATCCTGTCTCTGAGGGCACTTGCATACACATGGTGCACATAAACTCAGGCACACATACACATAAATAAAAATAAAATCTTTTTTAAAAAGTAAATGAATTAGTTTGGGCTGGAGGGACAGCTCAGCAGTTAAGAGCGCTTGCAGCACTTACAGAAGACCCAGGTTTGTTGCCAACACCACATGACAGCTCACAACTGTAACTCCAGTTCCAGTATGTGGTACACATACTCATTCAGGCAAACACTCATACACATAAAATAAAAATGAATAAATCTTAAAAGACTTAGTTCATAGAGAACATATTCTCTAACCATAGGCACATTTTTTAAAAAGTTGCTAGTAGAAACCCAGAATTTAGAAATAAGAGTATTTCTACATAACCCACAGCTTAAGTAGATATAATGGAAATTTAAACTGTGCAGGCCTGAGTGCAACTGAAATATTACATTACTATGTGAAAAGCAGCAAGAGAGACCTTTACAGGGAAACAGAAGAAGAATGGCGAATGACACCTTGGAACATGAACAATAAGATACAAGAATTCATGAAAAAGTAGAGAGCTTAAAATTAAAAAATTTGCAAGGCCCAAATTCCAAGACTAATTATTGCAAAATTGATAAAAAAATAAAGCAGATACAAATATTATTAGGCAGTAAATAAGACACATACTAAAACCAAGATTAAGAATATTTGCTAGGAGCTTTGACAATTTTGGTAAAAGAGACAAAGCACTAAGTGAAATATGCCAAACTAAGCAAACTTCCAAAACAGGAAGAAACCTCAATAGTCATAACTGGTAAAAATAAAATGAAATAGTTTTTGCATAGTTTTAAATCTCCCCACAGGAAACTGAGCCTGGATCTTCTGCAAAAGCCTTAACCACTGAGCCATCTCTCCAGTTCCAAAACATACAATTTTGATTGCTTTTCTACTGAAATAATCTAGTGTATCAAGTATAACACAGAATCAGGGTACTCAACATGTTTTTCAGCAAAATCTTCATGATCTTTCCCTCATGTCTAGAACATACAAATTATATAAGAATCTCAGCTTTGACAGTAACTATAAAACTCAGCAAAAATTCTCATGACTGATCACGTCATTTTATCTCTGTTCTAGCAGAATCCTCATACAATTGATAATGCCATCTCTGGTTTTACTTCACACCTCTCTTTTCACAGGGAAAATGCCTGACACAGGGCCTGCTCTACAGAGCCAGCATTCAGTGAATTCAGGCTCCCCCAGCACCATGCTTTGTCTACAAGGAAACATCATCTTAACCCAGACTTCCTTCATACTAAGGAGTGTCCTTTTCAAATCTGCCCAATTTTACCAAGTGTCAAGGACCAATAGCAGAGAGGCACAGAGAGGCCAACCTGTCCATCAGCACCGCCTGTCCCGGATCCTGCCATGTTCTCTCCTGCCTCATCCAATTCTACCATCTTTTTAAGCTGGTACTGTAAGGGTTATTATCAAACAAACAGAAAGCTGGGGTGTGCTAGAAGTAACCTGACAACTGATAATTTAATATAAATCACCAACCAAATACAGTGTATACGTTTATATATCATAAAAATGACTTTATAATATCAACATTTTTTTAATTATAAACAGTTTAAATATATCGTTAAAGGAATACAAGTCATGAATAACCAATATTACTTACATGATATTATTACTCTTGTGGGCTCTTCCAATGTTTTCACACCAGCGATATTTACATATATCATAAACGAGTAATTCTTCTGGGAAAAAGTAGTTCCAACGCCGAATTCCTAAAATGCAAGGATGCTGCTCAAGGAGCCATTGCTCGGCCATGGAAGAGTTAACAAGGAATAACCCTGCAGTGTAGGTCCAGGACAGCTAAGGCTGCACAGAGAAAAAACAAACAGAGAAACAAAAGAGAAACCCAAGCTTTACCTCCTTTAATGTCGTGTTTATTCACCAAAGAAAGAACAAACCGATCAATCTCAGGGTACGGTGAGGCCTGGAAGCCTTCAATGGGTTCCACTGCAACAGAGAGAAGTATTTATAAATGAGAACAGTTAAATGTTGAAAAATTAAACATCAATCAAATTATTAGTCTGTAAAATTGAAAATTTTCTGCCCTCTTTTGCAGCTTGCCTTACTGTTGCTTCTTGGGCTCTTGCGCTGTTCCAAGGATGTAGTTAAGATTCAAACATCGATTAGGGCAAATGTTGGCTAGTTTTGATAAAGGGCCTGTTTTGCCTGTTTTCTTCACTCTGACAAGGGAACAAGTAGCTCAACGGCTGTGCGGGTCTCCTGGCTAAGCCTCGGTGTTGCCTAGAGTTGGCTATTCCTGTTTCAGTCTTGATTTCTGCTATTAAACACAAATGAGGCTACAGACTTCAGTAGGTAAATACTGAGGCCACTCAGTGGTCACAAGGATTCTAGACTAAACCAGACCTCTCTGCAGTCTTGTCTGTGCAGGGAGAAAATAAGAATTACCAAACTACTGAAATGGCCAAAAACTCCTGGCTAACACAGCATCTGTTACTGCTTTGCCAATTATAGTGTTAATCTCTGTCCAGATGCCTCCTCCTAGATAAAATTTAGTAAGATAAACAACAGAGACTATTCTCCCTCGAGTTAACATAGTCCCATGCTTCCTCGTAGACACTCTCACATCACATGAGGCAGCCCGAAGCCTGAAGCCCTTTCCAACACCTTACTGAGGTACCCAGGGGCTTCCATCACCCAGGGAATCATAAACTCAATCTGAGCTTCCTGGAGCCTCTCACTGGAGGACACTAAGATTTTTATTTTATATCTAAGAATCTACTGCCATAACTTAGAGTGACCAGTTCACAAACTCATTTAGTTTTAATGACAGGAAAATCTAGTTTTCTTAAAGTCAGTATTTCTCTTAAATAGTTAGATATATAACTGGAGAAATTTTGGAAAGTATTTCAGTATAGAAATAAGAAACATTTCCAGACAATGTCTAGAAATATATCTTGAAAATCAAAGGAAATAAACATAGGAAAATACTGCCCACATTTTTAGTGGGCTTGCATGCAATCATGTAATTTGTGTGTCTGTGTTGTTATAACAGCAGGGAATCTATTAAGTCCAGGGTAAGTCTCTATCACTAAACTACATCCACAGCCCACACTCTACTGTTTCTCTTATCATCATCAATGAGTGTGTTCCACATAGTCTAGGTACAAATCTAAACTTGTAGCTTGGAGTATGTCATCCTGTTTATCTTGTATATTTAGATTGTCTGGAGATTTTCATTATTATATTGATATATCAACATATGTGAATAAAAGTGTTATCAGAGAATTTATATAAGAAACTTTAAGGAAAAAAAACCCCTGTATGTTGTTCAGTACAGGAATGGGCAACATATGATAGAGACATGTGAAACACTTCTGCAGTACAAGGTTAAATGGGAATCTTCTATAGTAGTTACCTGTAATTTTTAAAAATACACTGTGTGTGTGTGTGTGTGTGTGTGTGTGTGTGTATACATGCATGCCACAGATTTGAGTGTGGAGGTCAGAACACACATTGTGGGAATTGGTTCTTGACTTTCTTTTTTTTTTTTTTTTTTGGTTTTTCGAGACAGGGTTTCTCTGCATAGTCCTGGCTGTCCTGGAACTCACTCTGTAGACCAGGCTGGCCTCGAACTCAGAAATCCGCCTGTCTCTGCCTCCCAAGTGCTGGGATTAAAGGCGTGCGCCACCACCGCCTGGCCGGTTCTTGACTTTCATGTGGGCCCCAGGGACTGAGTTTGGGTGTCAGGCTTGGTGGCAAATGCTTTTACCTGCTGAGCCATCTCCTCGAGCTACCTGTCTTTGATTATGAACAAAGGATGAAAGAGGGGCTGGTGAGAGAGTTTAGCGGCTACTTCTGGCTTTCATAGGCCTCAGACATGCACATGGTGCACAGACAAACATGGAGCCAATACAGCCAACACAAGAAATATTTAAAAAAAAATAGGGTGAAAGATTAGTCATATTTTGATGTGCCTATTTTATATAAAATATATTATTTGTATATTCTTTAAGTAATATAGAATATTTATATATTCCTTAAGGAATATATTCCTAGCACAGAATGAATTTTAAGGTATTTTAAGTAATAAGCACCTATATTTTTTTATAGTACGTCTAACCTGGTTAGAAACCTAGAAGAATTAGTTTTTATATGACCAGCACATATGAGTACTTAAGATTTAAGACTTTTAAGGCAAAGTAGATTTTAGACCCCTCAATTTTAATGTGAAATTGTTTAAAGTTACCTGAAGTGCCAGTACTGTTAAAATACTCAGTCCGCTTTCTTTTAGTCTGAGATGGGTCACATGTGAGGATCCGCAAAGAGTCTGAGAATCTAAAGGAAGTGTATACAGAAACAGAGTTCACTGTTAGAGCTGAAGTAGCTGACTAGAGAGAGGAGCCAGCTCCACGGAGCTCCACAGTTACAGCCCGAGCTGCCAGCCCTACCACATGACACAACTTGCCAATTAGTAAAACAGTTTCCTTTAAACAGTCATTTGGGGATTGTTTAAGACACGAGTAATCCAAGGGCTCTAGGGTACCTGAAATTGAAAGTATAGTTCTACTTCAGACACACAGACCTTTGGACTTTCTGCTAGGATTTAAAACTATGAATAACAGAAGAAAAGAAAGGATAGCAGAAGCACAGGGAGGTGTGACTGAAGCTCACACTAATAACTGGGAGAAGGTGGTCCTCTGCTCTACAAGAGTAATGCCTGGCATGCAAAGTGCAGGGGAGCCAGCCTTATTTAAGATGAGAACTGCCCACTTCTGTGAGGCTGCACTGAAACTACGCAAGACTCTAGTGGTTCTCAGCCTGGGAGTCGTGACCCCTCTGGGGACATATGACCCTTTCATAGGAGTCACACATTAGATATTCTGCATATCAGATATCTATATTATGATTCATGACAGTATTAAATTCTAGTTATGAAGTAGCGACAAAATACTTTGATGGTTGTGGTCACCACAACACGAGGAACTGTGTTAAAAGGTTGCTGTGTTCTGAAGGTTGAGACCCTCTGAGCACTACTTCTACACTTCCACAGACACAGACCCTGCGCCTCTAATGCATGCTAACCACATTTAATTAATTATCTTGAGCCAGGGTTTCTCTGATAGCCATGACGGCCTCAAATTCAGAGATCTGCCTGCCTCTGTCTCCAGTGTGCTGAGACTAAAGGCCTGCACCACCACACCCAGCTTAATATTTATTCTTAAAGTTAATTTCTATGGAAACTTCTTAAAAACTTCTGGGAAGATGCAGGGGCAGGTGGATTTTTGTAAATTTGAGGCCAGCTTGGTTTATATAGTGAATTCCAGGCCCACCAGGGCTACACAGTGAGTCTCTGTCAAAAACAAACCCAAAAAAAACCAAAAAAAATCCCAAACCAAACCCAAAACCCCAAAACAAAAACTTTTGAGGAAGGTAAACAGAAAAACAACATAGCAAGTTAATGTGGTTTAGACTGGTTTTTAACCACTTTTGTTTGTTTCAGGGTTTTGCTTATGTTTGTTGGTTTTGGGCGATGAATGATAAAGACTTATCACATGGTGTCACAGAGCCCTGCTGGCCTTGAACTTACTACGTAGTGAATGATGATCTTGAACCCCTCGTCTTTGCATGTCCACCTCTCAGGTACTAGACTTGCAGACAGGGATAGGCCTACTGTCCACATTCTGATGTAACTGCCAGTCTGGTAGAGGTGGGATTAGTTACCAAAACATAGAAACCTAACCTGCGACAATAGATCTGTTAATAAAGTATGCCATTATAGTACAAAGCTTACAGCACTAAATGTTTTATTCACAAACTATTAGCTTTGCAAATATTTGTAATATGATGTGGAAAAGAACAAGTCAACTGACAAACCATATGAGTAATGATCCCAACTAAAACATATTTTCTGGGGCTTGGTGCAGAGGATCAAATACAGGGCCCTGAGTATATATAGCTATACTGCTGAGCTACACTCATGGCAAGAAATAGTTACCAGAACAGTGAGCTATGAGTAGTCTAAAGGTATATGTCTATATGCGAAAAGAAATGAGACAGTAGTAAGTATACTTTTAAAGATAACATAAATAGCATTTTTTCTTCTTTATAAAGTGATTTTAGGATAACTGGAAAATACATTATACATAAGAAGAAATTAAATGGTTAGAAACATTTCTTGCTATTATTTTTCAGATACAGAGAAAAGAGACTTTTAAAAACAAACTTCCTTTTTCTTAAGGTAGAATCAATTTATACATTCACATTTAGTAATATCCAATGCTAGCTACATTATATATGATGGGCTGATTCCGGCTCTACAGACCTGACGTTGCTCACCAGGGAAGATAGGAAATACTGGTTTTCCTCAGAAATAACTTTTGACTGTTTTGGAATAAATCTGTTATCTTCAGCAACCTCCAAAGATACACACTTTCCTATTTTTGATGACTGATACAGTCGAAAGTTTCTGTTTTTTGTATACACTCCTACAACAAAAATTAATTTTAAAAATGAATGCATGTTTCCATGATTTTTTATAGTTAGCAGATATTACTTTTCTGCAAAATTGCTAGAAAATATGATTATTTCCCATATCCAAAATTAAAGCAATGTATAAATTAAGATAATTTGACATTAGAATAAAAGGCGGCCACACGCAGATAGCTAACTAAATTCTAGAGCATCTATGCAAAGAAAAGCAAACAGAAGAGCGGGACAAAGTGCCAGAAACAAAATATTTGACTGAGAGCTGCCAGAGAACTGTGACACAAGACCCCAGAGAAAGGGAAGTACCAAGAAAACTCAAGAGTGTCTATAACAAATTTAATGAAATACATGTATGATTTCTATCCAGAAAATTGTAAAAACATGGCAAGAAATGAGAGAACACTACATAAATGGGGGAACCTACCATGCCCCAGTATCAGCCCAGGAAATGATAGCCAGAGTAAATAACAGAATAGACCAGAGTCTAAAATATGTACTGACTCTGGAGATGGCAAAGTGTACTGCTGAGCCATGGGGAATGACAGTCATTCCCAACAAATGGTGCTGGGGTAACTGGATAATCAAAGTAAAAGATGAATCTTGACATCACTCAACAAAGAACAGTCTATTTCAAGTGGATGACAAAACCTAGGCACAGCCCAAGCAGGTACAGACTTGCCTTTCACAAAGGATGCAGGGTAGTCAACAGTGCCAATGTTACATACCTAGATCAACAAAAAGACATTTTTCTCCCATGTGATTTTTCACAACTAAAAATGAAAGATCAGGGTCACATTGTTCAGGCAACCCCAGGTTCTGCCAGGCCTCTGAAATCTCTTGTTTTAATGGTGTAACAGAAAAACAGGAGGCTTCATGGCCCACTGCCTCTGGGATCTTATCTTCATCATCCTTGGCAATTAAGTGAAGAGCAGGTTGCAAAATTTTTTTCACAAAATTACCTAAGGAGAAAAAGTATCAAGATTACAATGTAACGCTTATTTGCTGTAGACTTAGTGTCTATTTATGAACTAAAGCCTTTCCTTAGCTATTGCTACAAACTGTAGGATGTCTCTTCTACCACATCCTTTCATGTGTGCAATCTTTTATTTTCTCAGCTCCTATTGGCATGCAAGGGCGTCAGTTGTAAACATACCATGTTGCTAGTATGGACTTGAGCCCAGCATGCTGTCAGCAGAAATGTCCACTTTCACTGCTACAAATGGAGCAGAACTAGTCAGTGACTGAAGGATGAGGCAGCCACCAAATGCAGAGACAGGGAAGCACATCAAGTGTCAGCTACCTCTCCCTCAGAGTCAGCAGCAGGTCAGCAGAGTCTGATGGGCTCATTCTCTTTCAGCAGCCACGACATGGCCCAAAACACTCATCTTGGTAGTCTCAAGGCTGTTGCCAACCATCTGTCACCCTCAAAGGATTACAAGATAAACTATGGATTTAGAGCTAATATCTGGAATTAAAGCAATCTGTATATTTTGTACTTCAACATCTGCCCTGAGAGTCTGTTCTACATGCGCTGTTAGAAATTGGTGCGATAACCGAACTTCTTTATAGTCACATGTACTATTTATATCCCCAAATCAAGATAATTCAGCCATTAAGTTGTTTTATATATTATTGCATATACAAAACAATGTAAGAAAAACTTCTTTATAATTGTAAATTTGGGCTTATTTATCACTTTTATATGTCAGAAAGGCTTTATATATGCATATCCTATAGATATATAAAGATTTTATATTTAAGTCGTAATATACATATGCATTACAATCAAAATCTTCTTTCTCTAAATAAAATTTTTCTATGCAAAGAAACAAATACAATTTCATTTTGCTTTTTTGAGGCAGAATTGTTCTATACAGCCCAGGATGCCCTTGAACTTGTGGTCATCCTGTGTAAGCCTCCTTAATTCTAGGACTACAGGCCTGCATCACCATGATGATAGATGTTTAGCAATTTTAAAAGGAATTGGAACGGAATATGGAGGCACATGCATGTTACCCCAGCTCTCAGGAAACAAAATCAGGAGACAGTTTCAGGTCAGCTCTGTTACATAGTAAGACTGCCTCAAAACAAATGAAATACCGGCTGGAGAGATAACTCAGCAGTTTAGAGTGCTTCCTGATCTTCCAGAGGACCAGAATTCAGTTCTCAATATTCATGTTAGGCAGCTTACAACTGCTGTAACTCCAGCTTCTAGGGACTTGACACTTTCTCATGGCCTCAAAGGCCCTCATGTGGCATAGATTCTCTGTCTCTCTCTCTCTCTCTCTGTCTGTCTCTCTCTCTCTCTCTCTCTCTCTCTCTCTCTCTCTCTCTCTCTCTCTCTCTCCACACACACACACACACACACACACACACACACACACACACACGAATAAGTATATAAATAAATAAACATTAGAACATTAAACTGAAAGCAAAAGCATTTGATCCTTGCAAGGACATTTAAATTTGATTATTTCTGGAATGAAGGAGACTAAGTAACACTGGTTAACAAGATATGGCATATCAAAGACTATGAAACAACATAAACATACATTGATAAAGCTGACTTTCCTGGAAATGTCTAATTCCATCTACCTGGCCCAAATAATAGGAAGAACAAGAACTGGACTGCAGAAATGGTTGCCTGGGCAGTACTAAGCTAGGCCTTTGACCTTTGGCAGGGAGCTAACATGGCGGCATGATGGCGCTTGCCCAGCCCATGTCCTTCTCTGATCTGTGGCAGGAGAGTACAGTACCGAGAATATTCTCTAATCTCTTCCATTTGACTCAGTTCCTCTTTCTGCCAGGCTGGTAACAGGAACTTTAAGTGTTATCAGGAGGAACACCAAAAAAGAGTTAAATGAGGTGGAAATGTAGACTAGTTTGTATGACCTGAATCTGCATCCTGACTGTAGACACAGTCTTGGATGACAGCCCATTTGTCCAATGTGACTGAGTTCTTACTGTGGCTATGCTTGGTGATAATACAAGCTTTCTTACTCTCATCCATATGCTGAAATTCTACCCAATTTCAGACCAAATGTGACCTGCTTTCTGAAGACACCTGAAGCCAAGACTGCTAGTTACCAACAGCTATCTATTCTCTTCTAGCTAGACTCTCAACATCCAGCCTCACAGTGAGCAACCAGAGACCAAATGGTGAGGCGTAAACAGGAATCATAGAAAGGTCTTCCTCAGGACTCAGTTTTCATACTCTGCCGATCACTGGTGCATTCATTCAGCAAAGAGTTATTAAATGCCCACTTCTGTTTATTATTGTTAATATTCTAAAGATTATTAATTACAGTATTAATATATGCTAAACCCTGAAAACAGGAAATAAGCAACAGTTCCTGTAATTAAACATTAAGTAGCCAGATGGTGGTGACACACCCCTTTAACCCAGCACTCGGGAGGCAGAAATAGGCAGATCTCTGAAAACATGAGTTTGAGAATGTATGATTTCTCAACTATGCAAAATGTAAGGATGCAATATGAATTATATGAGAGGTTTCATGAACCTAAAAGAATAAAAGCAGCTGCACTATGAGCCAGCTTGTCAGAAACATATTAAGGAGGGAGATAAAGAAGTTTGGGGAGTGGTTAAGATCTCACCCAGCTAAGTTTATTGTTTATGCTTTAAAAAGCCAGGCAGATTTCTGAGTTCAAGATCAGCCTGGGACAGCTTGGTGGAAATGGTAATCTCAGAGCAAGATCCCACCCAGCTAGCTTATTGTCTGTGCTTACAAAGGCAGGCAGATCTCTGAGTTCATTTGCTATATTAAAAAAATATACTTGCTGTCTTTTCCAAGAATCAAGAGTAGAAGGTCATAAAATGCTGACTCATGGGATAATCAAAAGGGAACCTGGGGTGGATGATTGAACTGACATGTAAATAAGACTAGGCTTTGGTCTACAAGAGCTGAGCTGTCTATGCAGCTGTCTGGAGAGCCAGACTGAGCAGAGCACAGAGCTGTCAGTTTGAATCCAAGATTGACTTCAAGTTATTTCTTTCTCCACTCTCAAATACCCCTTCCTTAGGACCCCAACCGAGCCAAGGCTGGTGCTTGGCATCAAGTAGATTCCAGAGCCTTGCTAGCCAGCCAAAATAGCTGAAATGGCAATGTTCAGATTAAGAAAAAAATTCTGTCTTCAAACAATAAGGTGGGGAAGTAATTGAAGAAGACATCCTCATGCCAACTCATGGCACACATGTGGACATATGTCTACACCACACACACACACACACACACACACACACACACATAGAGATGCATACACACATGTGTATATGCATGCATGCATGAACAAGCACACTACATAGAATAGCAATAAAAAAAAAAAAAACAAGGAAACCACCCTAGGAAGTGGTAAGTGCTTTCATATAGTAACACTGGACGCTGCAACCCAGAAGAATACCAGCCTTTTAAACCTCAGGGTTAGAGTGACAGAACAGCTTCTCAGCTGACCTGAGAAGGTCAGTCTCCATAGACCATCTGAACTGGAGCTCAGATAGCAGCAACAAAAAGTAAAAAGGCCCAAGCATTAGAGAAACATGCAGCAGTGGAAACTAAGTTAAGGATGGAGTGGAGGGATGAGGGTAGAATCCAGTGAGCAAGTTAAAGTGGGTGCACTTGTCCCTGAAGGCAAGTATGATCCATGAAGTTTAAGGCACAGTGGTATAATCATATCGTTCTTGCCAGCTGACTAAATAAGCAGGTGGAGAGATCTACAGCGACATGTAAACTGGACAGCGATGACCACACACACACATAATGATACTACACACATGCATGAACATCACACATGCACACGACAGAAAGCTTGGACTGTCTCATACACTTGTGACTATCATGGAGATATCCACCCTCCTGACTTTTTTTTTTTTTTTTGTGCCAGGGACTGATACTCACTAACAAGCAGGAGAAAAAGCAAGTTCTTAAGGAAAGATGAGGAGCTTGGGAAGGACATGTTGAGTTTGAAATGTCTGAGTGGAAATATTGGTGGGAAGTTGCAGGAATCTGGTGTCTGAACAATCTAGGCTAATGTAACATTAACAGTGGTAATGATGGAAGCCGTGATAGTGGATGACCATGAAAGCTGACGATGGTAGAGTGAATACAGACTCAAGCACCGAGCCTGCAGTTGCTAACATCTAAAGGATGAGAGGAAGAGACAGAGGCTAAGCAACTAACAGTGGGGAGATAAGAACAGCACCTAGCTCACTGAGATCCAGCACCTCTCTACTCCAGCACTTGGCTTCAGCACTCTAGGCCTCAACGACTATGCTCACAGCTTTATCTTAGGTGGCTATGAAGTTACAAGACACTTGAAGATCTGAAAGAGATTGCCTGTTACAAGAACGTTAGCCAACACTCCTTAAGCCCAAGGCTCTGATGAACACCTTGGATGCTAGCCTTTCTTTAGACCTGAGATTTAGGTATTCCCAGATGGCCTATTTTCATCTTCTCTGGACTGACTTCCTTTTATACCCAGGCCCTCACTTGTCTACATCAATTACTCTGCTTATGTTTTCAGGTTTGTGCACCAAGATGTCACTGCAGTTCTAAAGTTCTGCTGGGATAAAAGCCCTTCATGATATGACCAGGGCCCCAGCCCACAAACTAAGGCTTATTTAAGGCTGAAGCAAAGGTCAGAAGTACAGATATTAGGCATCATAGATAAGGCCTTTTATGTCTTCTCCAGAAAACTGAAATGAATCCTGTTGGAACAGAAACCAGTATTAGGGCATTCATGGTCATCCCAATGTGTACAGTAAGAGGCACTAATAGCACTGATATCCTGAGTGGGTTAAAATACCTGAGATAAGCATGCCAAGAACTTAGGGCACTCATGAAAACTCACTTCATCTTTTTAGAATAGGCAAGCAACCGTAAAGGCTAGGAAATACCTAGAACATTTCAAGAGAAGCAGGAAAATACAAGATTTGAATATAACCAGGATCTTTTAAAGGTACTCACCAACATGACTGTTATCTTTAAATGCCGCATTATGGAGCTGAAATATTAGGTGTCGGCTAAATTTTTCTTCAGTGCTGGAATCCAGGTTGAAAACATCATCAGCTGAGCAGCGAACATTGTAAGACTCTTCAAGTGATTTACAAACATGCTAAGAACAAGCAAAATAATATACAGTTTAGATTTTAGATTTCTCTACCACTAGTACAAATATACAAATACATCACTACAAAATAGATGAGTCATCACCAGAACATTTACAATATAGTAACATTACCAATTTACTTTTAAGTTTAAATACATCACTTAAGATTATTATATAAAGTTATATTTAAAAACTGTAGGTAGGGCCTGCTTGGGGGTTAAGAGCACTGCCTGCTCTCCCAGAAGTCCTAGTTTGAATTCAAGCACCCACATGGCAGCTCACAGCAATGTGTAACTTCATTATAGGAACTCCAATAGCCTCTTCTGTCTTCTGAGTACCAGACATGCCTTTGATACACAAACATGTGTGCAGGCAAAACATCCATACACATAAAATTATAAACATAGTAATTAAAAATAACATTTCTCTTAGGGTTGGAAGGATAGTTCAGTAGTTAAAAGCACTTGCTACTCTTTCAGAGAACCCAGGTTTGATTCTCAGCACCTAAAAGGTAGCTCACCAACCATACGTAACTCCAGCTTCAGGGAATCCGATTCCCTCTTCTGACCTTTGTAGGTGTCAGGCTAATATATAGTGCACAGACATACATGTAGGCAAAATACCCAAACACATTTAAAAACAATCATAGGCTCTCAGGACTGAAGAAGACTCCTAAAAGTCAAAAGTCAAGCACTTTATATACTAACCCTCTCTAATAATAAAAAGCAACTTTTTAAGTACCTCCTAAAACACTAGCTTGTCTTAGTTAGAGTTTCTATTGTGGTAAAACATCATGACCAAAAACAACTCATGGAGGAAAGGGTTTATTCAGCTTATAGCTTGTAGTACATCATGCAAGGAAGTCAGGGAAGGAAGTCAAGGTAGGAATCTGGAGGCGGGAACTGAGGCAGAGGCCATACAGAAATGCTGCCATTGGCTTACTCCTCATGGCTTGCCCAGCATGCTTCCTTATACCACCCAGGACCACCTGCCCACTGTGGCATGCCCCCACATCAACCATTAAACGATGGGAGCTGGGCCCATCCACATCCATCATTAAAGCAAGAGTGGCCCACAGGTCAATTTGAGAGGAAATCCTCTCAAATTCTTTCCCCAAATGACTCTGGCTTATGTCCAGCTGACAAAACACTAGTGAGCATAGTAGCTAAAAGTTAGTTTCTAGTTCTAGTTCTTGTATAACTTTCACTCTTAGAAAATTTCTCATTCCTTTTAAATCTAAATCTGTCTATAAATCTATGTCTAAGAATACAGTCTGAAAGCACATGGCTCAGGAGCCCAAGATTTAGGATGAGAGAACACTACATTTGAGTTTTGGCTCTGCCACTTACTGGCTCTGTGGCTCTGCTCAGATCTAATCCTGACATTCCTCAGCTGTGAGGCAGGAATAGGAAGTGTCACCCAACTTTTAACAAGAAAATACGATTAAGGAGTTAGTACAGTGCTTTACATGGGTTAACAGCTTGCTTCTCCCTGTTACTGTCAATCTTCTCATCCACAAAATGAAGCACCAGCTACCATGTAAGGACACATGGAATAAGCAGAAACGTTTCTAAATGTTTCCCAATCACGTAAACATTAATAGCTATACAATAAATTCCACCTGCTACCAATGTTTTCCTATTACTAGGTTTCCACCATCTGACCTTACTTCTCTAGTAAATCCGCACATTCTTAGCAGCCTCCCTCAATGTCAAGTTACTCCTAGATAGCTCTTTAGAGTACTTACATAGCTGCAGTTTTACCACTGATTTATATCATTATTTTGATACCTGTTTCCTTTGTATTACAGACAGGGAGCATGTCCTGGCTACTATAGACAAAGCAGTGCAAGGAAACTTGGACAATAAAAATAAAGTAATAATTTGGGAAAAATAAAGCACTTAGTTTTTAATACAATAGAATCATACTGAACATTATATGAGCAATGGGTAAGTATCTATCTTGTTTAAGATGGTTTTTGTTTATTTTTATGCTCTCATTTTTTTTCTTGGATATTTTCTTTATTTATATTTCAAATGTTAACCCTTCCCAGTTTCCCCTCCAGAACCCCCCTAATCCATCCTCCCTCCCCCTGCTTCTATGAGAATGCTCCCCCACTCACCAACCCACTCCCTCCTCCACCACTCCGCCTTCACATTCCCCTACACTGGGGCATCTAGCCTTCACAGGACCAAGGGCCTCTCCTCCCATTGATGCCCAACAAGGCCGTCCTCTGCTGGAACCATGGGTCCCTCCATGTGTACTCTTTGGTTGGTGGTTTAGTCCCTGGGAGCTCTGGGAAGTCTGGTTGGTTGATATTGTTCTTCCTATGAGGTTACAAACCCCCTCAGCTCCTTCAGTCCTTTAACTCCTCCGTTGGGGATGCTGTGCTCAGTCCAATGGATGGCTGTGAGCATCCACCTCTGTATTTGTCAGGCTCTGCAGAGCCTCTCAGGAGACAGCTATATGGGGCTCCTATCAACAAGCACTTCTTGGCATCCGCAAGTGTCTGGGTTTGGTGTCTGTATACAGGATGGATCCCCAGGTGGGGCAATCTCTGGATGGCCTTTCCTTCAGTCCCTGCTCCACACTTTGTCTCTGTATTTCTTCCCAGGAGTATTTTGGACTGAAGCATTCACACTTTGGTCTTCCTTCTTCTTGAGGTTCACATGGTCTGTGAATTGTGTTGTGGGTATTCCAAGCTTTTGGGCTAATATCCACTTATTAGTGAGTGCATACCATGTTACAGAAAATACATTTAGTGGCTCTTTAGTTTTAGTAATCAATCATTCCTAAATTATATTTCCTAAGTTAAACTGTAAACAGAATTATAGTCATTTAAGCAACTACACTATAGAACTTGGATGTTAAAAACACATGACTACTGAAGCAATCTGCATTAATGACAACATGCATTAGCACCAGAATTCATCCTAATTGGTAGAGTGGTTTTACTGCAGTGTAGCAGTTAAGACATTGAGCTCAAAGGTATCAACAGTATAGCCAGGAATTATTAAACAGTTATTTATTAACTGTCTGTTAATTTAAAGATAAGAAATGATCGAATTTGTTGGGTGTGGTGGTGCACACCTGAATTCTAAGCACTTAATTGGGAGATAGAGACAGGCGGATCAGAAGTTCAGGGTTTTCCAAGGGCTACGTTGTGAGTTGGAAGCCCTTTGGGGCTACATGTAACCTTGCTTTGGCCAGCAAAATGGCTCAGTGAATAAAGGCAGCTGGTGATACCCCAGACCTACATGGCGGAAAGAGAGAATGAAGGCCAGCAAGTTCTCTCACATCCTCAGGTGAGGTGTAACACATGCATGCCGAAACCCCAAAAACAAATCATACTAAAATGTAAAAAGAAAACAACAAATAGCTTATCTAAGTAAAGCTTTATCCCACTCAAGGCATATTTACTAGATTCTAACATGGTTACACGCAAGGAAACTAAGATTTCAATGTAATTATGAAGTTATATTAAAGAAATACTAATATGAACTGCACTATCAAATAGAAAACATGTTAAATAAAATTGTTATACAATTTTGAAGTTAGAATTCTACAATGTTCTCCACATTTTCCTGATATAAATTAGTTCTTCAATGTTTATATAGATAAGAGATAATGCATTAAGAGAGAAAAATTTAAACACTTGGATGACCTTCTCATGCGTTTATTAATCTGTTACAGAAAGTTGTATCCTGGTGTTTGCTACATTAGGGATATTTCTATGCTGTAATACATTGCAGCACTTTAATAGTAACAATATATTTAAGCAGCAAGGAAAAAAAAAAAACCTCTGGATCTTAGTTCTTTGTAACCCATCTGTGTAAGTATATCACACACTTAGACTGTTGAACTATATCACACACCAGAAAGAGCCAATACTGATGAGTTATGACAAGCAAAATCAAAAACTAAGCCACTGGCTTATGCCTGTAATTACAGCACCACAGAGTCCGAGTCTGGAGGACAGCCTGACATGTCAGGCCACTAGATGCACACAAAAGCCCATAACCAACACTAACAACAAAACCCACACAATTACCAAGTACAGTGAAACAAGGCACAGGGCTTACTTTTGACTGTTCAGTGGCTATTTTAAGAAGAGTAAAACTTTTTTAATTTGGAGAATTAAGGAGGATTTCACATATATTTATTTCATTTCAAAGCCAGGAGAAAGTATTTACAAATATTTTTCAATTAAACTTAAAGTTAAATATGCAAGGATCTAATAAAATCAGCAGACATCCTTCACAAGAACATTTGAATTTACATATACTTGAATTTTACAAAATTACTTTTCATAACATTTTCATATGGTTAACATTCAAACGAAAAAAATGTTAAAACCTACTCTGAGACCAGATCGTCACTACAACTTTCATATAATTTATGCAAAACAATCTTAAGTTTTTAAAAAAACAGGTGTCAATATATAAACCCATATAATTCTTTTTTTTTAATTGACACAGCTAAATAAAAAAGTATTAGCATGACACTCTTTTCTGTTAGATGAAGAGATGTAACTATTATGTTCTAGGTTTGGTCAAGTTCTATCTGTAAGATTCAAGTAGGTACTGGTCTTCTCTAGACTTAATTTTTTTCATCTTTAAAAGCACAGATATGATTCCAAAATTCACATCAGTTCAAACATTATGATATTTCTTTTTTCAAATTTTCCCTGAATTCCATCTTGTCGTCCACTTTGAAGAGTTAAATCTGCTTTACCTCACTTCTGCCACAGGTAAATATTTATACTGGAAGTCAGAGAATTACAACATAGCTCAAAAATAGAAAACTCTCACTCATCTTGTTCAAACTAGCTATAGTAATGTTTTAATGGAATTGAATTTTCACTTTGTTTCATTGTTTACTCACAGAAACAATGCTGTCAAAAAGAAGATAGCAAGAAAAAGTAGAAGTCTGGAAGCTGTGTGACACAGGAGAGCCAGTGATTAATGGAAGGATGGAGAAGAACTTACCTGAATGAGCAATGCAACCATCTTCTTCCCATCAGCTCCTGGATTGGCCAATTTGTTAAATTCCAAATCAAAATAAAGCTTGCACACAGAGTTCTCAGGAATAACTTCATAGCAGTGTAAGAGGGTTTTTCTAAATTGAATAATACAAGTGTTAGATTTGTACCTTACTCCGCACTTGGGTGTGACAGTCAAAGGACAGCTTGCAGGAGCTTCTTCCTCCGCCATGGGTTCCAAGCACTGAACCTCGATTGTCAGACAAGCATAGCGAACACCTGGTCTAACTGAGCCACTTCACTAGATCATATATCTTAACCCGTTTAAAACATGGGGTTAGTCCTATACTCAACATTAGTGACCACTCTGCTTTATCCATCTATAACTATGAATTAATAAACTGATGAAGACAATGTGCCATCAGTATGTCTGTGGCTCGTAGTATGAGAGAGTTCCTGACAAAATGATGTTAACAATTGCATCCAGAAAATTATTTAACTGGAAAACAAAGTCAGTTACAGTGCTATTTTGTCAAAAATGTCTTGATATTGTATAACAGTTCCATTTTTGCTTTTGCTGTCACTGCAAAACAAATATTATTTAAGAAAAGAATATTCTTTCTCAAGGTGTTATTCTAGGATCATACACACACATGAACACTTAGGAGTCCATGAATCTTCTGTGTGAATTTTTAAATTCTGTATTTTTACTATAAAGATACATTTACAAGATTTAAAACAACAATTCTCTCTTGAGAAACTTTTACTCATCCCTTTTAGATGTGTAAATTGTCCTTTTCCTAACTTAAATCTCTCTAATAATTGTCCAACTTATGCAGGCATGAGAGAAATGACTTTGACACAGGTAAATAAGAGCAGGAGCTTGTTCAAAATGCAAATACATAAAGCTCAGGTGACATTCTATATAAATAAAAGTCTGTGGTAGGTTTAAAAAGGAAAAGTGGGGGTTGAGAAGATGGTTTGCTAATTAAAAGTGTGTACTGCTCTTCCAGAAGACCTGAGTTCAGTTCTCAACACCCATGTCAGGTGCCTGTAACTCCAGCTCCAGGAGATCTGACATCCTCTTCTGGCCTCCTCAACACCTGCATGCATGCACACATGTGGCACTCACACATACACAGAAATGAAGGGAAAAGTGATGGAGTATGTCCTCTTGTGGCAAGCAGTACCCGTAGGTACCACCATGTGCATTCTGAGAGGACTACACTTACAGTCCAAGATGAGATTTAGTTTCAGTAAAACACCATCTGTCATATTAGATTAAGAATTTTCATAGGCCAGATGTGGTGGTGCATGCCTTTAATTCCAGCACTCAGAGGCAGAGGCAGGTGGATATCTGTGATTTCAAAGCTAGCGTGGTCTACAGAACGAATCCCAGGATAGCCAGAGTTACAGAGTGAAACTGTGTCTCCAAAAACACCTCAAAAACCAAAAAACAAACAAACAAACCTCTGACTGGTGTTCATGTATACTAGCATAGCATAGCTAAATCTAGTTTTATAACTGAAGCTACTTAACATTATAGTGAATGTTCTTTAGGAAATGTTGATTTATTCCCCTTTCTATGGATAACTCAAGTCTTAGAAATAGGTAAATATAACAGTTATATTAAATATATGTATTACCTTGAAACACTTTCTAATATCACTATTTTAGACCTGAAAAAAATATAGCCCAATTGAGAAAATATGACACTTCAATCTTTGGTTACAGTATTATTAAAGTTCAGTCCCACATTCCCTCCTTATATTGACTTAAAAGAAGACATTCCTTTATTATATAATTAATAAGGTAAGTGCTCATTAATAATTAATATCAAAGTTTAATATTTTCTTATAAGACAAAATTCACAGAATGTTCTATAATACACAAATATGTGTATGATTCCTGCTCCAGACATAACTTAATGAGGGTTGCAGGTGGCAAGATAGCTCAGTGAGTAAAGGCATCAAGCCTGATGACCTGAGTTTGATCCCTAGGACCCATATGGTAAAAGATGAGAAATCAACTCCCCAAAACTGTGTTCTAACCTCTACCTGTATACTAATGGTATATGTGTGTCCACATGCACACATACACACATGCACATACATGAACGAACACACACATACACACAAGCAAAATAAATAACTGCAAAAAAAAAGCCTTTAAAAGAGTGGGTATGTATGCAGGGCGGGTGTTGTACACCTTTAAGGTCAGCATCAGGAGAGGGTGATGAGCTCTGTGATGAACGCCCTCTGTGAGTTCAAACCTATCCACACTGAGTTCCAGGCCAGCCAGAGCCACCTAGTGAGATCTCATAAAAATGATGTCAAATATGGAAGCTGTCAATGATTATCAGAAAGATAAAGTGTCTACCATTAGTTTCTGTGAACACTGCAACCATCACAAAGGAACTTCAGTATTCAACTCTAATAGTGAAAGAGTAATGTGCTGGCTAGTTTTATGTCAAGTTGATACAGCTATAGTCATCTGAAAGGAGGGAACCTCAACTGAGAAATGGCCTCCGTAAGATTGGGCTGTAAGCAGACAAGCCTGTAGGGCACTTTCTTCCTTTCTTCCTTCCTTCCTTCCTTCCTTCCTTCCTTCCTTCCTTCCTTCCTTCCTTCCTTCCTTCCTTTCTTTCTTTCTTTCTTTCTTTTTTTTTGAGACAGGGTTTCTCTGTGTAGTTCTGGCAGTCCTGGAACTCACTCTGTAGACCAGGCTGGCCTCGAACTCAGAAATCTGCCTGCCTCTGCCTCCCAAGTGCTGGGATTAAAGGCGTCCGCCACCACCGCCCAGTTGGGCATTTTCTTAATTAGTGAACAATGAGGGAGAGCCACCCTGGGCTGGTGGTCCTGAGTTCTATAAGAAAGCAGGCTGAGCAAGCTATAAGGACTAGGCCAGTACACAGCACCCCTCCATGGCGTCTGCATTAGCTCCTGCCTCAGGTTCCTGCCCGGCTTGAGTCCCTGTCCTGACTTCCTCCAATGATGAACAGTGATGTGCAAGTTTAGTCAGTGAAGCTGAATAAACCCTTTCTTCCTCAACTTGCTTTTGGTTGTGGTGTTTCATTACAATAGTAACCCTAAGGCAAGTAACCAACCATGTAGCCATGAACTGTGGATATTAGTACAGCATGAATTAATTTCAACAAGAAAGGAAACACAATTTTAGTTAAATGAGCCACTCTGCTACTTACCGGGTCTTATAGTAAAACCAAAATTGAGCATAGGATGTCACAAGGTAAATTCGTTGTCCATTTCCCATTTTGCACTCCAAGGCAAATACGTGAACATTCTATATAAAATTTAATTTTTGAAAAATTTACAACATGAAAATCTAAGTTCACCTGTAACTATAAAAAATATTCATGAAGAACTTTGTCACTCAAGATAGTAAAATTTGGAATATGAACAATTATATTATTAAAAATAAGACAGTCACCAGACCCATGCCATCTCAAATCTCTCTCTCTCTCTAATATATATTACATATTACATATTAATATATACATATTAACATATGCAAATCAATATATGCATATTTAATATATTAAATTTTTTTCTTTTAGATTTATTCCTTTTATTTTATGAATATAAATATTTTGTCTGTCTGTCTGTCTACCACATGTGTGCCTGTACCCAGAGAGGTCAGAAGAGGGCCCTGGATTCCCTGGAACTGGAGTTATGGATGGTTGTGAACCATCATCTGGAAATCAAACTTAGGTCCTCTGCAAGAGAAACAAGTGCTATTAACCCTGAGCCATCTCTCCAGACCCCTAAAATCTATATTTTTAAAATTTTTTTTTATTTTTTGGCTGGTTATATGGCTCAGTGACTAAGAGCACTGGCTGCTCTTTCCAGAGTATTCAGGTTCAATTCCTGGAACCCAGAGACAGTTCACAACTGTCTGTACTTCCAATCTCAGGAGGCCCAGCACTCCCTTCTGCCCTCCTCCAGTGTGCATGTAGTACACAGACATACTTTTATGCAAGTACTCATACAATAAAAGGTTTTAACTATTTATTTTTGTTTTATGTGTATGTGTGAGTACCTGCATGTATGTCTATGTACTGCACACTGCATGCATGCAAAGAGCCCTTAGGGGCCCAAAGAGGGCACTAGATCTCATGAAACTATAGCTGCATATGGTTGTGAGTTGCCCAGGTGGGTACCAGGAACTGAACCTGGATCCTCTGCAAGAGCAGCCAGTGCTCTTAACCACTGAACCACCTCTCCAGTCCCCATGTTAAATCACTGACATGACATATATGTAGGATAGAAACTTTCCAGATTAAAAATAACATTAAGAGAAGAAAGCTCATTCCCTTACTCTCATTTAACCTAAGATAGTTCTTATTTTATGAAATTAGACTCATTTTACAAAACCACCTCCATATTACTGTTAACTATTTGAACTAAATATATATTAATAAGCTCTCTTTTCCTGTAAAAATGTACACAGGAATAAAATGTTTAAAAGAAGTCACTATAGACCTGAATGAACCAGGGCTGTTCATGGCTGCTGCATGAGGAGCTTCTGTTAATACAAGCACAGACACAAACAGTTTTCTGTCCATCTAGCTAGAAATAGCTGGTGAGCCTATTTTCATTTTTATAAATGAGAAATCATACAAAGCCTCTGTTGCTCGATTCTATGAAAGTTCTTTTGAGGGCTGAGGACGTGGCTCAATGGTGGAGCATTTGCCTAGCATATGTCAGAACCTGGGTTCAAGTCACAGAATAGAAAGAAAAAAACCTTTCTGAAATAAACTTTACATTGGTGGTTGGTTTTGAAAAGACCAAGTTCAAATGACTATCAGTATTTTAATTTTTGATTCCTGAATTAGGTTTACACAAAATGAGTAAAAAGGTTTTTCTAATGTTTCCTCTTTTGTTGAAATCTGAATAAGCATCTTTTTACTAGGAAAATAAGTTCTTTCTCTCCAATATGAAGTACTTTGTACTTTTACACAGACTCAATTACTAGAATCACAATAGATATTTAAATCATTTAAATATTTATTGCATTTATTTATCTATGTCTAGGTGCGTGGGGTACGGAGATGCACTTGCCAGGGCATGCATGTGGAGGCAGAAGACAACTTGAGGTAGTCCGTTCTCCCCTTCTACCAAGTGGGTCTCAGGGATTCTACCCAGGTCATCATCAGGCTTGGCTGCTCCCACTGAGCCATCTGACCCAAGTTACATTTTACATATGTATCTTATCTTTTAATTTATTTGTCTTTATATTTCATAGGATCCCAAAAAGCAAGCAACAGGCACTATACTATCTATTGCCTGATTTATTTTAGTTTTGTGTTTGAGCTCCATGTTCTCTGTAAGGCTGAGGGACATTAAGTACTTCCTCGCATTTGCTTAATGTCCTAGGAATATGTTCAGCCTACCTCCCAGCAGATTTCACTCTAATGTTGGCACACATGCCACATATTTGAAAATAAATGGGACCAGAAATGTCATTCTTTGGCTAGAGAGATGGCTTTGTGGTTCAGAGCACTTGCTGCTTTTGCAGAGCCCCAGGTTCAGCTCCTAGCACCTACATGGTACCTTACAACCATCTATAACTCCAGTTCCAGGGCACCTGACACAGTCTTCTAAACTCTATGGGCACTCCACAGATGTAGAAAAGATACTTATACACATAAGATAAATAAAACTAAAAAAGAAATGCCATTATTTTTCACTACTAAAATAAATGTAGTGGTTAATGAATTCAAAGGGATATTTTTCTAAGTCACATGTTATCAAGACGACTACTACATTCTCTTTTGTCAAATATCTCATCTGTAATGAGAGGATCCTCTGCAAGAGCAGCCAGTGCTCTTAACCACTGAACCACCTCTCCAGTCCCCATGTTAAATCAGTGACATGACATATATGTAGGATAGAAACTTTTCAGACTAAAAATAACAGAGGAGGACATTTTTTTAACCTCAACTGTTACTTAAAATTAAAAAATAAAGACAAAGCAATTACCTCTTTGCAGCTTTTAACAAAATTAAAAGCTTGATTCTGACGATGAAATAACTTCCAAACGGAGGCTGGTTCTTCTGGCTTGGCCAGTCTTGGTTTGTACTCTGAGGACAGTGGCTTCCTCTCATAGTCAGATGCCCGCTCTTCAATCTGCTTCAGCTTTGACTCCCATTTCCTCCTTGATTCCCGTTTCCTCATCACTGCTTCAGAAGTATGGAGGGAATAAATGTAACCTCAGAAACCTTTCTGTCAATCACTACTAAACAAACAAAAATGTTAATTGCTTTGTTCAGAATATATTCTGCCTGGTACAATTTCAAAATGTCTGGCTTCCTGACATTTTTTTTTTTTTTTGCTTTACATTTTCTTTATACAAAGTTTCACTATAGAAAAGGAGTATGGCTGGCCATCAGAAATCCTTAGATCCTAGCTCTTCCCTATAGTAGTCTCATGACCACATAGAGATTAATGAAACTCGGTGAGATTTCAAAATGGGAATCAATAGAGTCTTCAGTGTTCTATGTAGAGGGCAAAAAAGCCTTGTGCACACAGATAAGCACAGGAGAATCCAGGAAAGTTAACCACCCAGCTTCCCTCTTCAAGAGCACAGCTGATCTTCCTGAAATGCCAGGAATGATGTAATTGACAACCTGATGATACTTTGTTGTCTGAAGAGACAGGCTCTGTCCATGTCTTCCAGACTTTTTGTATTTATGTATCCCAGACTCTTCCCCTTAAAAGTTTGAGTATTGATTTTAGGCCATAAGACCCATTCTTATAAGTGATGTCATCTGTGCTTTACAACAGCCTAAGAGACTTCTATGTTAAGGCGGGGACAACCCTCACACCCGCAGACATTATGCTTAGCTCAGTCAAGCTCACTAAACCCTCAATCTTCGGCACTATCTCCTAGTTAACAGAGACTTCTCTGTGAAAGAAGTTGGAAGTTTGCAAAGAATCTCAATGTAAACCTGTCTTCAATTGTGTACTTGGGACTGAGTTCATTCTTACCTACTTTTTCCAAAACTGTGTTGTACTTGCATATGGCCAAAGAAAACTGATTTGGGCCAGACTCTAGAAGTCCTGCTCCCTGATTGGCTTTTCCCTGCTTGCTGTAATGCTTGCAGGGGACTCACCAGAGTTTATGCAGGGCCTGTGAATAGACATGTGAAAATGTCTTATGAATTATAAAGCCCCATGTGGATGCTTTCAGTATCATTATGACTTTGACACAGCCAATCTATCGCTCAGCTGATGCTTACTATCTTGGACTCTGCTCCTGTGTTATCATTTCTTAGTGGACAGTTCAGGTCTAGGCATCATGGAAGCTTTCCCTTTCTGTTTCTGTTCTCTTTCTCCCAATGCCACAGAGGAATGGCAATTCTGCTCTAAGCATAGCTTCATTCATATGTCATTAGGAACTTTATATTTTGCTCCCTTTCCCAGTAGGAGATGCCATTTAAGCTCAACTACACACTGATTCTGGCCTTGATCATGTGACTTGCTTGGGCCAAGGTCACACTGACAAATGTAAGATCAGGGGCTTCTACGTCAGACTTAGCTATATTGGAGTCCTGTCCCCAGACAGCTATGCCATAAGTCTAGGAAAGGGAAAGAGGACCATCATACTAACATATCAGAGGCTGAAAGGCCACATGAAGAAGGCATCCCAGATAAAGCCAGTCAAGATACGTGAGTTAGGACATTTGAGATCACACATCATTAAAACAGAATGAATTCAGGACAGACTACAGAACTGCTTAGTTCAACTAAAGAACCACTTTAAATAATTTTTTTTAATTAGTAACTTTTTGTACTGGTTTGTACACAAAATTGGGTCAATCATGGTTCTTTGTCAATATCACCTATGCTATTATCTACTCATTCAGAAAACAGATACATTAGCTTTTAAGTGAAATAAGAAAAAAATACTAAAGCATCCAGGAGGAAATTATTATTTACCTGTATTAATGCCTTTGTCTTCAATTTTGGCAGAAATCTTTGAACTGACACAATCTCATTAGTAAATAACATATTCTCTGAAAAGAAAAGCAAAATTACCTAAAAAAATTGAGATAGAGCCCTCAATATTAGGTTTACATGAAGATAAAATTCTGCTATATTTCAGAATTGATTTTATTCTATGCAATTTATTGTTATCCTAAAACAACAAACAGAATGCAATTATATCTGAATCATAGATTCAAAACAATAAGAATGGTATGTACATGTTCACATTTAATGAAACTAAAATCAATCTCTCTCTTTCTCTCTCTCTCTCTCTCTCTCTCTCTCTCTCTCGCACACACATATACACTCACATGAATTATAAAACAACCTGGTATGACTATGGGAATATGCAATAAAAGAAGCCTTGGAGTCGTAATGCAAAGCTGGTTGAGGCTGCACTGTTGAGGAAACCAGAGGGGAAAGCAATGTTTAGCATCCCTGAATTATTTTCAGTTAGAAATGGGTGACAGCTGGAGCGTCAGACAACAACTGGGGCTTGGACTATTTGAGCGGGAGGGCTGAATAACAAAAGCAAAGAAGATGGAGAAGAAAGCATCTGGCCTTCTGTTTGGGACTATCATATTCCCCATTCCAGTCTCTGGGAGAATATCACACCATATTAGAAATACTTTTAATTCCTGGTGCGGAAAGAGTACTGATGTTCTTTTAAATAATTTTATGCCAAAGCTGCTTTTTCACTCCGTCCATTTTTGGTAATGATTTACAAGTTCCAAAGAAAACACATGTACTAGTGTCAAGCACAGTCTTAAAGAACTCTACCACCCATTTCTGTACCAAAACAGTATTTAACCACATTTGCTACAATCCTACAGTTGGAAGTGTTGGGGTTACAAAAGAGGATTAGTCATCTTATGGTAATTAGTGGGAGAAGGGAAACTGGGATGGAAGTGGAAAGCTGATCAAGATCCCTGAGCTTATGTCTAGACTTGTCTATTAAGGGCCTGATCCCAAGAGCATCTTGACTCGGGGAGGGGGTGGGAGGAAGACATCACACAGCTACTTTGTAGTCACCATTCATTCACATTGTGATAGTTAATACTGTCCACTTGACTGGATGGCAATATGCCCACACTTGTAAAGCACACCTCTGGGGAGAGGGGGTGTTTGCCAGCTGTAATGTTACCTTCTAAGGCAATTAGATCATGTGGACTCTGAATTCATGTGGATTCATGAATCCCTTGATGGATTCATCTTAAGGTAGCATTCCTGAGAGATGGTGAAAGGTAAGAAGTGGGGCCTAGTTTGAGGAAGTACTGTTTTCTGGCAGCCATAATGTACTGGTCCAGCCTGCCCTCCTAGGCAAGACAGACTAACAACTTTTTAAAGCCCAAATAGATACTTCATCCATTAAGTTATTCTGCCAGGCATTCACTCTGTCGCAACGAGAAATCTGACTAATACAGGTGTAAAGGAATCCTGAGGCTTCCTTTTTTCTTTTTTTTTGGAGATGTTTCTATGGTTGTCCAGGTGCTGGTATTATAGGCAGGTGCCACTATACATACCCTAGTTTCTTAACTAATTAGCAATTGACCCCTACTCCAACTCCAATTTCTCCTTCTACTCTGAGATTAAATTCATTAGTATTGTGTTTACTGGAGATGTCATAGTTCCACTATTTATTATGTTGTTTTATTTTAAAATACTTAATAATATTTTGAGCATATATACATGTTTATGTATGTGTATGTGTGCACATGTGCATATGTTATATGCAGACCAAAAAAATGATGAGTATCTTCCTCAATCACTCTGTTTTTGTTTGTTGTTGTTGTTTTGTTTGTTTGAGACAGGGTTTCTCTGTCTGTGTAGTCCTGGAATTCCTGGAACTCACTCTGTAGACCAGGCTGGCCTCAAACTCACAGAGATCTGCCTGCCTCTGCCTCTGAGTGCTAGGATTAAAGGCATGTGTCACAACCACCCTGACTTCCACTTTAGTTCTTAACACAGGATCTTTCACAAACCCTGGAGCTCATCAATTGGGCTAGGCTAGCTGGCCAGCAAGCTCCAGGGATCCCACTGTGGTGTTTTACATGGGTGCTGGGGGTGTGAGTTCAGCTTTTCATGTTTATTCAGCTAGTACTTTATCAACTGAGCCTTCTCCTAAGCTCTTTAAGATTTTCTTAATATTATATCATTCATGAACTCTTGTTATATTTTATTTTCCTGTGTGTATTTGTATGAGTGAATGTGGGTGTGTGTTCTTGAAGGCCAGAAGAGGGTGTTGGATCCTCTGGAGCTAGAGTTACAAGTGGCATGAGCCACCTGAGTTGGAGCAAGAACTCTTAATTACCCAACCATTTCTTCATCACCTTTAATGTACTCTATAATCCCTCTATGCTATATCTACGACTTAAATATTCATCTTTCAACAGTCATCTTAAAGTATGTTATTCAAGTTCACTCACAAACATATTACTATATAAGCTTACTTTCTAGAATGTGTAACAACTTAAGAAATTAAATATAAAAGACTAAATTTCTTCTGTTCCCACCTAAGTTACTGCCTATGATCAGAAGTCGTATTTTAAAATGTCCCTAAAACCTACTAGAAGGGGTAAGAAAGCCTATAACAATATACTGTTCCAGTTGTTGGTTCTTTCCCTCCTCCCTGACCTCCCACCCAAAATAGCACGACTCTATCAGATGAATGACCCTCATGCCAGTTTTACAGCTTCTTGCAAGAATACCCGTTAATGATTTAGTTATCATTTAATTTGATACGTAGCTTATCTTAGGAAGGCTAAATCTTCCTGCAGATGTAGGACTTAAAACGTTTATCTATTATACTTCTAGTTCAGTTTTCTCACCAAACAGGGTCTCACCACACCCCGCTCCTACGCTCCTAGACCACTTCAAAAACCCTGTTACTCCAGCTGCCCCAACCTGGAAAGCATCACATTGCTTTTCATTAATTCTTTCTCTCTTGAAGCCCAGAATGACTTCGGCTCCCCCTGGGTCCAGGCTGTGAAGAGAAAGTACAGGGCTCAGATGAAAACCATCACTTTCAGCTGTTTTGCTCTAACAAGCTTCTCTAGATGAAGTCAACATAAGGGCAGAAAACTGCTGAGGGTAACTTTATCTAAGGTATCATTTTGTTAAGAACGTTTAGCACAGGGAGGGATCACGGCACAACAAGGGGATCCGGGATTTCTCAATTAGACCCTTCCTTGTGAACTACAGCCTCCATGAAGCATGGCTAGTGTTGAATGTGTCCTACTGCTAAAGCTTATCCCAACAGAAAGCGGCTGATCGTCACTCACATATTCTTTTAAAGCCTCTGTTGGAACTGGAAAAAATAAGAAATGTACTATGGGAATGCAAGAGCTCAGATTCTGAAAGCCACGAATGGTAGACATTTGTGTACCTACGTATACTATTGTCCCTTACATCCATCCAAGCAAAGGCTGTGGAGTCAAGCTGCTCTATGGAGTACATTTGTCCTCAGAATATTCTGGGCCCCTGAAATTCGATGCTGAGTGCTGTGCTCATGTTTTCGTATATTATGCAAAAGACCGCTTCCCTGAGTCAGAGTCTGAAACAGGACCTAAAACAGTCCGAGATTTCAGTAAGGTAGTCAGGACTTCTGACTGAGGGAGCAAGAGTTGGACGGAAGTGAAGGCCTCCGTTCATTTGAGAGGAAGTAGAGATACCGAGTGCGGGATTCAGCCCTATTTTCTCCAGTCGGAACTCTGGCTGGCAGAGGCGTCTCCCTGAACGCCCATCATTGCGACCCTGGAATCAGGCGTGGCCTAAAGACCTCTCTAAATTTACCTCAAGTGGCGCAAGTCGGCTGGAGACGGCAGCTGGCGGGGCCAGAGATGGCGGGAACCAGAGCTTGAAACCCCCGCGAGGGGGCGGAGCCGGAGGGGGCGGGGCCCTAGGGTGGGCCCTAGGTGGGCGGGGTCTGCGCGGCGGCGGCGGTGGCGGCAGTGGCGGCGGGGCTCCTGCCCGGGCTGAGACGACCAATCGCGACCGTCACGCGCGAGGTTAGGGTTTGAGGGAGGGGGGAAGGGGGAAGGTCGAGAGGGGGCGTGGCGTGGGCGGAGCCTGCGGGAGGCTGCTGTTGCAGTGTTGGTGCTGGTGGGATCAAAGCAGAGTGGCCTGCGGCGCGGAGCTTGGATCGGTACGGTGAGTGTCTGAGGCTCTCCGGCCTTCGGGGGCCTGCGTTGCCACCCGGAGCCGGCGCACTCTTGCCGGGTCTGCAGCTCCTTGGAGGAGGAGGCGGGGGAAACGGGCGATCTGGGCGGAGGATCCTTTGTGTTGCCTCCAGGCTTGCTCAGGCAAGCACTGAAAGCAGAGAAGCTGGAAACAGCGCTGGGAGCGCGATCCCCAGCTGGGAGCCCAGACCCGCGAGGCCAAACTGGTGTCCCTAAACCCGGGTGAATCGGGGCGGGACTCAGACCCTCGAGCACGGCGCACGGGCCGCGTCGAGGCTCCAAAGGCGGAGTCCGGGGGACTGGGAGATCGCCCCACGCACAGAGCTTCAGGGGCGGGAGGGGGTGAGTCCATAGTGGGGGTGAGCCTGGAAGCCGAGTGGCGGGAGGTGGCGGGATCCTGGAGTTGCAGGCCGAGGTGTGGACCCGGGAGCAGAGGATAGGTAGGGGAAGTTCTGCCATGGGGCCTGGAGGCTAGGCTGATGCTGACCTTGAGGCGGCTCTAAGGGACCCAGCCTCCCTCTGTTACAAGAGTATTTGGTCTCCACCCACCTTTGGTTTTCGCCAGTGCACTGTAATTTTTGGTTCTTGCGGAGAGCTGATTTTAAGCATTGCCCCTCTGACTCTCCTTCTTACCCCGAAGCCTGTCGTTGAATACTCCAGCTCATTCCTTTGTTGGTCAAAGTCACTCACTATAGGAGCTTGCATTGACATCTCTTGGGCCATGCTCAGTTACTGTCCGTTCTTCACACTTATTAATTAGTTGGTCTCTGAAGCCCGACTTGAGTAGCAGGGTCTTTACCTCATTCTCCGTTGAGTCACCCAGGAAACGTTCTTCTTAGGCACCTCTCGTGGACCCAACTTCTTCCGCCGTTAGACACCGAGCCTTGTAGACCTACGAGTCCTGACAGATTTGTACCTGGCCCTTCTTCTGAGTCTTGTGGACTTCCTACTGTCTGCCAGATTTGTACCCACCTCAGGAAACCGAAGCGGTCTCTGCTCCCTGCCCCATGGTCCCTCTCCAGTGCACCCTTTAAAAACATGGAAAACAAAAACAAGAAAACAAACCAGTTTTCTAGATGTTCATGTTTCCCCTTAAGGTTTAAGGGGAAAACCTTACCCGCTAGCCGGGTTAGCAAAGCCAAACCCTGGGTCTTTATTGTCCTCTTGCTTTATCTTTTTTTTTTTTTCAGCCCTGGGTCAACGGTCTCACCTCTTCTCCCTTTATATGCTTATGAATAGGAGCTGCTACAGAGGTTTCACTTCTTAGTTAACAATTCAAGGTTAAATCTTCCCATTTCTTCCTTTTGCAGCAGGCATTTCCTGAAAACAGCTGTGTCATATCCTCTCCTTTTGCTTGTTTATTGTTTGCCTACAGAACTGTGAGCAAACACCGCTTGGCTCTAACTTTAGCGTGGTGCCCTTCCTTACTGGTCTTTTTTTTTCCCCCCCAACAAGTGACTGCTTGATCCATTTGTGTTATTACAGCAAAGTGGTTGATTAAGATGTGGATTTGGAGATATTGGTGAGTGGGAGGAAATGTCGGGCCATTGTTACAGTATGAGTATACAACATAGCAGAGGAGACGCTAAGCTGGGGGTTTGGCCAGCCGTTGGGAAGCCACTTGGGATGTGTTAATGGTGGCCATGGCAGGAGCCTTAAATGTGGAATGTAGAACCCTTGTCACAACCCAGTGTTGAGGCTTTAAAGGCTTTGATTAGCTGTCCAGCAGAATAAGGCTTTTGGAAAGTGAGAACGTGTTTTAATGAGTGGAAGTTTATTGAGATGTAGCAATCAAACTGGTACAAAGTAACAAGTGAAATTCTGCACCTAATTAAGTCAGGTTGCTTTTGTGGTCCTGCAGAAAGGTTCTGCCTCCTGCCGTTTTAAGAACCCTGCATCTTTATCTGATAGAAGCGGTTCCAGGGGCACTCTACCGTTTCAAACCTGGCAACACATTCACTTCATCTGCTTTCTAAAGTTACAACACAGTCTTTTCTTCAAACACATTGCATTAGTTCTGGTCTTCGTGTTAGATAATACTTCAAGTTCTACCCTAGTGAGAGAGGTAGAAAAGGAGTGGAAATTCTTACATTCTTAAGTACTGTTTTATATAGTCATTTAACAGATTAAAAAAATTTTTGGAGAGGTAAAGGTACTCTGTCATCTGACTGTCTGAGGCCAGGCCCCCTGTGCTTACCAGCTCCTTCATAAATAAGATAATCTGTATTGCTCACAAGGTTTTGTAAAGATCAGATGAAATAGTACGTGTGATGAAATAGTATGTGTGACGATGTTTTGTTAAGGGTGATATTCTGCATAATAGTTCCTGTTTTAGCCTCCAATACTGCCTGGAGAGCTTCTTCATTTTGCTAAAGTACAATGAAATTATCTAGTAAGGGCTGAATGAACACTGGCTAGTTAACGTCTACCTTGCTGCTGTTTTTAAATGCCAGTGAACAGGGATACAAGCTCTATATAGGGATAGGTTCTGCCTCTTCCACTACTTCATATGCTCAGGGTCCAGTGAAACATCTTCATACAGTTGATACTCAGTAGATTACAGAGTTATCTGTAATTTTTATAAAAGACATTAAGGATCTTCCACTCTAAACTTTTATTTCAACAACGACAGGTTGTTTTCAAACAGGTCAGTAATTCTTCCACATCCCTAAGAGCATTTAGGTTTATCTTCTAAGGGAGAGGACAAGACAGACCCTTTGTAGATAGTTAAGCATCACATTCTTTCTGGTTTGTGGCACAAGGTCAGAGAGCTTCATCAGGCTGGTCTGCCTCCCTGGTTGTATGGCCTGTTCTAAAAACAAGAAAACAAGATGATTTATTTTTTTCCTATGATATAATATCTTCTCCATATTTTCTTCTCCTTTCCAGCTTTCCTTTCACTCTCGTTATATTTTAAACACTAGACGGTTGGCTTTATCAGACTCAATGACAACAGCCGGTTCAATGAACCCCCAAAGGAACTGGGACCAGATGGGACAGATTTGAGAACAAACAAAACCAACCACTGGTTACATACACTAAGCAATCTTTTCTTAACCAGATGATTGTGAAACAGGTGCTCTTTCTGTTTCACTTACTTAATATGAAAGTGCGTGTGAGTCTTTGACCTCACTAGTAGGTAGTAAATAGAATCCTGGTGTTTTCTCAAATTGTTCTGCACAGATGGAGGTAGACTTTCCAGAAGCCATTCTACAGTGGTTTCATGTTCCCATAGGAAGGTAGGTAGACATATAGGAAATATGCTTAGTCAGATATTTTACATGTATAAGTAATTTACCTAGTTGGATGAGAAACAGCATAACCATTATTACTGTTTCCTTCATTGTAATGAATGTAGTAAGTGTTGGCCTGTATGTGTGGGCTTTAATTCCCAGCAACCACATGGTAGTGTACAACCATCTATCATGGGATCTGATGCCCTCTTCTGGTGTGTCTGAAGACAGGGTAGAGTGTACTCACATACATAAAATAAGGAAAGAAAGGAAGAAAGAAAGAAAGAAAGAAAGAAAGAAGAAATTGAGTCTCTATTGAAATGTACAGACTTCTCATCATCTCCTGAACAACACTACATAAAAACATTAGTTGTACTAGGTATCATTAGTAATAAGTGTGGATGCTTGGCTTATGTGTAAATAATACACCATTTTATACAAAGGGTTTGAACTCTGCTATCTGAGGCAGGTTCCGGAGCCAGTCACCCATGAATACTGAAGAACACAACTGTATATTTAATTTCAGTTTTGAATAATCAGTTTCTACCGTGCCATATGTATTTTAAATCTCACCTTAATTAGAAAACCTGGGCTTATAGGTTTTTGTCTCATTGAAATAAACTGTCGTGTTGTCGCACCTATATGATGCTGAGCAGTGTATAGAATGGAGCTTGCTACGTGGAGTGGGAGTCATGGCTCTGTTACTTAAAAAGTGATGAACTCTCTGAGCTCCGTTTAACTAAGGTCTAAAGTGGAACCATTATACCCTGTGTTATTGGGAAGCCCGACTGGAAATACCTGTGTGCCACTCGGTCTAGCACTTGTGAGCTGGAAGTAAGAGAGATACTTTGTTAAGTCTTTACTCCTAAGTTTTGAATATTTATATCTAGGGAGATGATTCAGAAATGAAGAACGTTGAGTCTTGTGTGTCGTGAGATTTAGAGATCTCAGAGAGCAGGCCAATGCCTGACCTCATGAGGTCTCAGCAGTTCAGCTACCAGAAGGTCAGCCTTGATGATGGGGACAAATTCTCCAATTAAGAATCTCCAAAACTTAGTATGAGGAGATGGCTCCGAAGGTAAAAAGTGTTTGCTGTGCAAGCATGGGGATCCAAGTTCAGATCCCCAGCACCCACATAAAAACTGGATGTGGGGCTGGAGAGATGGCTCAGTGGTTCAGAGCACTGGCTGCTCTTCTAGAAGTCTTGAGTTCAATTCCCAGCATCCAAATGGTGGCTTACAACCCTCTGTAATGAGCTCTGATGTCCTCCTCTGGTGTGTCTGAAGACAATGACAATGTACTTGCAAATATAAAATAAATAAATAAATCTTTAAAAAAAAAAAAGCCACTGGATGTGAATTGTAGCTGTAATCCACCAGAGATAGAAAGATCTCAGGACTCGCTGCCTTAGGGTAGCCGAAAGAGAGGGCTCTAGGTAGGTTCAGTGAGAGACTTTTGTCTCAAAAAATAAGGTAGTAGGCAATAGAAGAAGATTACAGAAGTCTACCTCTGGCCTCTCCGTGCACAGGCATGGGCAAGAACACACACCTCTAAAACTGGTTTGTATTAATGTAGCATCTCGTTTTAAATCCCTATGATAGGCAAGTTTTCATCTATTTTATAATGGGTATTTGTCTTGTTTCAAGCTATTCGTGATACATTATACCTCACTGTCTAATTTTGTATTTTAGAAATAACTTCCCTGTTCCTCCGCTTTTATTCTGAAGATTACCCGTTC